AACAGCGACATCTTAACATTCACGTTAACAGTTTAATTAACGTAATGCTTGCAGAACTTTTCATTCGACTTGCTTTATAAATACTTTATTTAATTTTTCTCTAAAGACTTTTTATTTTATTTTTGTCCCTGCATACTTATTCTATCTTAAAATGATTAGAAATATTTGGTATTTATATCGGATTTTATTCAAGTTGAAATTTAACAAAAGAGAAGAGATCTCAATACCTCTTCAGTTAACTTAATGGCTTTCAATAAAATCGTTTACTAATTCATTAATTATAATAATATAAATAATAATTAATAACTACGTGCCATATCTAGCAATAATATCAATTAATATTTTATAATTATACTTATAACATTTTTCTTAAATATCGAAGTCCAATTTTAATTATTTGCCATTTCGAAAACAGTTTTATGGATCCTCATTAAACAGCTTCGGTTTCTGTTTCTGTTTCTGCCCCGCACTCACCCCCCCCCCCCTCCCCCACCCTTGCCACTCTGCGCAACGCGACAAATTGTTCAGATGCGGGCTTTACTTATATATATTGCAATTTGTTTATACAAATGTGCATTTAATTGTTGTTTGTTTATTTGCTTTCTTTTTCCACCTTTTTTTCCCCCTTTTTACACATTTGTTTGCTTTGCATTTATGTTTTATTATTGTTTTCGTTTTTGTTTTATTTGTTTATTTTTTTTAAATAATATTTTTTGCCGCCTTAACGCGGATGTTTTTTTACAATTCACAATTTGTTGCCGGCATTTTGTTGTGCTATGGGAAAATCAGATATGCATCTGCTATGTGTATCTGTATCTGTATTCGTATCTGTATCTGTGTTTGTATCTGTATCTGTGTGTGTTTAGTTGTGTTTGCCTGGTCTGTGCCTTGATGTGCGGGGGAGGGGGTTGTGGGCGGAGGGAGGGGCTTCTTCTGCGACATGCGCATGTAATCGATACGTTTCATGTTCTCGCGCTGTGTGTTGAATTTTGAACACAGTTGTTTTTCTTGTTGTTGTTCTGTTGTTGTTCTTTTGTTGTTGTTGTTGTTGTTGTTGTTGTTGACAATTTGTTTTGCAAATTGCAAGCCCTTGAAAATTCTGTGGGCTCGATTTGCCGCTGTTGTTTTCTTTTCCTCAACCATTTCGCAGCAAAGCGGAAACAAATTGCCACGCTTACATACATACACACATACATATATATATATATATATATATTATATATATATATATATTTGTATTCCGATTGCCCAGTCAAAACAAAAGTCTGCAGAACTTCTCCTCAGCATAAAACGCAATGCGCAAAAAGGTGAAAAGCCACCACCACGTTTTTTTTTTTGCTGCTGAAAAGCCATCGCATGTTTGCTCAAAAGTATCTAAAAGAACTCAACTTCGCTCACTGAGCATTCCTCTTCTTCTTCTTCATCTTCTTCTGCTTTTTTTTTGTGATAAACAGCACACAACAAAAAATGTGTCGTAAAGTTTTTGCGTCGCAGCGCAAAAGTGCCAAAAGGAACAGACGAAAAAAAGAACTGAAAAAAAAAAACAAAAAATAATAAAAATTCGGCAGCAAATTTGTCATGCCGAAAACGAGTGGCAAATGTTGTTGATTTAGATACTTTTTATATATGTATCTAAATATTTATATAGACATAAGATGCCGGCTGGTTTCCAAATTTTGTTAACATTTTCGGGGCGCTGGCTGCCTGTTTTTTTTATATTCCATCTTTTCATTCATTTTTGGTATTTTTGATTGTCGAAAATATGAAGAACAAAAAAATAGAGTGTAAATTATCGAGGCAAATCGCGTCAAAACAAACAGAGAGAACAGCAGCCGCAGCTTTGGTATAAAATGCTGATAGATAGAGATATACACACCCGTCAATGGGATACACACACACACGCAAACACACGAACACGCACGCATACACAGCTGTGTAGCTGTCGCAACATGGCGCGCACTCCCAAATAAAAGTATTTGCCAGATACACAGCGCGCCCTCTCTCCGGCACGCTCTCATCACATGCACAGGCTCTCTGCGCGCTCGCGCTCTCTCACGCGCTCGCGCTCTCTCTCGCTGGCTCTCTCGCTAGCTGCCATTTTATATAAAATGCGACGCTAATTGCAAGCAGACGTTCAGTCGCCAGTTTAACTCGCAACACGCCACACGCTAAACGCAAGAAATACAAAAAATAAAATCTAGAAATTATAAAATACTACATATATATATATAATTTTTAAGTATAGTTTGTGCAAGCGCAGCCAACAAGAGACTTTAATTGTGAATTACATTAATTCAGCCAAACAGAAAATATCAAAATATATCAATTGTAAAAGCAGCAGAGATTAAAGAAGAAAAAAAAAGAGCTTTCAGTGTCGACTTTGAATGCAAATGCAAAAGCTCTGCGCCGGTCTCACAAATTACCAAAAGCTACGCAGCGAATTCAGTTATTGCTGAACTTTTGTCGTAAACACAACGCAAAAGAAGCTAATACCAAAAAATAATATTAAAACGGCACACACAAAAACTCAAGCACAAAGCATAAAAGCAAAAGCAAAGGCAAAGAAGCAGAGTGCGCCACAATATAACTGTGATAGAAAATTGCAACAAATTTGTATTATATAATTGTATGTGAAGAGTGTCAAGCAAAACAAAAAAAAAAACTCAAATACTCGCTAGTGCGAAAGGGAGAGAACTTGAATTAACAAATACTCCGCGCCAGTGTATAACAAGAAAAACAACAGAAACAACATAAATATGATGGGCACCATGTCGCTGCGTCAGCCCGAGAACTGGCTATACGAAATCTGGCAGAAGGGCTACGATAGCCCCTGCTATGTTATGGTGCCAAATGCCAAAGTATGTATTGTACAAGTTAACAAAAATAAACAAAAATCAAAGTATACATATTTATATAGAGTATAGCCAGTTGCATTGAGAACAAAAATTTCACCTTGCAGCTTGTATCGATTTTTTTTTTTTGTGCACAGATTTTTGTTCAGCATTTTTATTGAGGCTGCGCGCGTTTTGTCCTCAAGGCAAACAAGTCGAAAAAAAAATGTATAAATGTATATATAGTAAATGCTCCAACTGAAAACTGTCAATTTTGGTGTATACATAGATTATTCATAAAAAGATAAAAACAAAGAGCACATGGAACAAGTAAAACGGACGCCATATTTGTCTTTTTTTTTTTTTTTTTGACGAGTTTCGTTAAGCGAAGTGCAGCCAAAAAAATAAACGAAAGACAAAAAAAAAACAAGAAGAAGAAGAACAAGCAGCGTTTTGTGTCTACCTCAGAAAGCGAGACGCGTGAACCCAAACGCGAACCTCGACCCGACTCGAATTCCGACTGTCTGCCTGTGTGTGTGTGTGTGCGTGTGTGTGCGTGTGTTTGTGTTGTATGTGTGTGTATATGTGAGGCAAATGCATTTCCTTTATTTTTGGTAGCTTCTAGCATTTGGCTTCTGTTCTTAGCTACGCATTTGCACCTTTGTCTGCCTTCACATATTTTGCTGTCTGTGCTGAAATGTCCATAAATTATTTAATTAATAAATTAATGAATTATAAATTATGTGCCCACCTTTGGCATACATATATGCACATTTTTAAATTATTTTTTGCTGCTCTTATTTCTACACTTGTTTGTTTTTTTTTGAGCCGTCGCTGGCGCCAGTTTTAACCAGTTTTTTTTTTAGCATTTCTTTTATTAGACATTTATCACCTGTTTTTTTATGCGCAGTTGCGGGATTCACAGACTTAATTTGATTTTAATTTTATTGTCAAACGTTTTTGATATAATTTTTTAATATAATTTCCTTTGTCTAATTTAGATTTTTTTTAAATTATATTCAATTCTTTCATGATGTTGATATACATAAAAAAAAGAAGAATAATATATATTTTGCAAATTATATTTATTTCTTTTTGATTATTCATTATTTATCATCTCTCAAAAACGTGCGAATATTTCTAGAGCCTACGCGTTTTTCCCTATTTGAATGTTTGGCAATTGGCCCAAACACACAAGTAAAAAGAAAAACTCGCCGCAGAAAATGCGAGACGACAGCGCAGACCATCCCCACCGGCAACCCACCCCTCGCCCCTTGCCCATTCCCGAGTCTCACCCTGCCATAAATCATATAAGACAATTTTTATGACTAAGCGAAACGCACGCGAAACGCGCATGAAACGCGCGCGTTTCTGCCAACGTGGCTGAAAATTTGTTTAAACAATTTGCACCGTTGTTAAACGAAGGTGACTTGTGAATTGTTGTTTTCTTTTATATATGTATACATGTATACTTTTGTTCGATCTGATGCTGATTTTGGGCAACATTTTGTTGCAGCTGCAAATCAGGCCACATCCGATGTGAAAATGCTTGACGGAGGCGTTTTATTTATAGCAGAGAAATGAAAATGAAATTGACAAAAAGAAAACGCAGGCAAACGGAACTGTCGTCAGCGCCACTCACCTGCCGCCGCTCCATGTTGCACGTGCCACACACACGAGCGCGTGCAAGGTGCGAGCGAGATGGCAACAAGCAGAGACAAAATCTGCCGTTGTGTATTTAGCTTTGGCTCCTCCCCCGCGTGCACCCTTCAGCTAATGGGCATATTAAATTTTCACGAGCATCGCAGACACGCGTGGCATGTGGCATGTGCCATGTTGGCATTGACATTTGGCCACAAAGTGCACATTTCTTGGCAATTATTTAGTATGGGTCGCGCCTTAAATGTACATGTTTACATTGATTTTCCGAGCACACGAAAGTTTCCATTCATTCGAAATTTAGGCCAAAACGATATCGATAACAGCGCTGTTAACTAACAGCCAATGTAAGTAGCAGCAGTAGAGCAGTGCGCACTGTTAAACAACAGGGCGCTGTTACTTAACATAGACGATCAGCGTTTGTCAGCTGTTAACCATTAATATATTTATATTTATATGCATGTATTTAACCTGTTACTAATTAGATTTTCTTTCTCTCTCACTTTACAGGATCTGGTCAAATCGCATCTCATGATAGCGGTGCGCGAGGAGGTGGAAGTATTGAAAGAGCGCATCTCCGAGCTGATGGATAAGATCTCCAATCTGGAGCTGGAGAACAACATACTCAAATCGAACATGTCGCCGGAGACGCTGCAACAGTTGCAAATGCAGCTGCAAATCGCTGGCAGTCAGCAGCCAGCTGCGGTGGCAGCGCCGCCCGCAACGCCCGCTATACAAGCGGCGCCGACCGCAACAGCAGCAGCCGTAACAGTGGCAGCGGCGCCGGCAGCGGCAACCAGCCCAGCGGCGTCGGCAGCGCCAACAGCAGCAACAGTTATCGTCGCCAATGGCAGCGGCGTCGGCGCAGAGAACGGCAGCAGCGGCAGCGGCGTTGACGCAGCAATTGCTGCGGCTTCAATTGTCGATGCAGCGCAGCCAGCAGCGAACGGATGCAGCGGCGTCGCGGCAGCGGCCATCAGCACAAACGGGCCAATGTCCTAAGCTGTTTGTTAGTTTGTTTTAATCGTAATATTATTAATGTGGCCCATTGTCCAGGGGCACTGGAATGTCGAAATAATTGAAAATGTCAACTAAAACTTTGTCGCCGCGACAGAGGAAAGCGTTAGCAGCCCCCCCCGTTCCCCCTTCCAGTAACAATGCCCCAGCAACAGCAGCAGCGCAGCAACATTAACAAAACAAACAACAACAACAACAAAAGTATTACAAAAAAGCTCGAAGAGGGCGAACGCGAGAGAAACAAGAAGGGAGAAAGTGGAAGAGAGAGAGAGAGAGTTCTGCTACTGTTAACGTTGCGCGCTGTTAGCTGCGGCTGTTGCTGTCTGGTAGCACTGCTGCAGCCGCCATTTTGTTAATTTTTCGATTGTGATATTTGTTTAACACATACCTTCACACATACACACTCACACCCACCCACACACTCAATCGCACACAGACATAGTTAGATGGATAGACTGCGCGTTAACAGCCTGGCTGCGGCTGGCCAGCTGTTAGCGAACGCTTTAACAGAGTGTTTTTTTTTTATTATTATTTAACAGTGCGCTGCTGCGCCAATTAACATTCAGGTTCAATATGCACAGTGAGAAAAAAAGAAGGCGGAAGGAAATTCACGTTTTTCTTTCATTTTTAAACGCTCCTTTTTTTTCCTGTTGTTCATTGAATTTTGTTTCATGTTATTTAACGCTCGAAAGAAGTTGTGCAAAACAAAATCATAAATATAAATAAAAAGAAACGAAAAGCAAAAACAAAAACAAATACAAAACACAAAGAAAAAGAAAAAAAATTAAAGTTGGCTTCAAATAATACTTAAATATTGTAAAAGTAGAATTTGAGCCGCGCAATGTGCATGGGTAGAGGAAAGCAGAGATAAAGAAAGAGAAAGAGAGAGAGAGAGAGAGAGAGAGAGAGAGAGAGAGAGAGAGAGGGAAAATTAAGAAAACAAAATATGTGATAATTTGCATTGTGCATTGTAAATTGTAAAAAGCAAGCAAGAAAATATCCGAAGCAAGCGCTAAACAATAAAAAAAATACACTTAAATAATATACAAGAAAGTCAGCAGAAGCAGCAGCAGAGATCAACAAAATTTTATTCACTTTAAACTAACTATATAAATTGATAAACGCGGATTATAGATCTATATATATATATATATATACATATATATATATAAATATTATATGTATGTAAAACAGCAAGCTGCTATTTTTATAATTTTTAATTCTTTAACTAAATCAAAGCAAATTATTAACTTAAAAAAAAAACAAATCGTAAATGTGCATGTTTCAAATTTATTATGAAAAAAAAAAAACAACAACAAAAATACACAACAAGAAAAAGAAAACAAATACAGAACACACGTAGAAAATCGTTGTAGTTATATATATTAGAACATTTTTCAAATTCTTTTCAAAGTAATTCAAATCAAGAGAAAACAAAATTATTGTAAATATATTTAAATATGATATGTGCAACTTTCAAGAGAAAGAGACAGCGAGAGAGAGAGAGAGGGAGATAGAGAGAGAATAACTGTATTCACTAAAGTATAAAGAAATGCAAGCAAATCGTGTGTAGACACTTAAAAAGTGAACACCCCTACTATCAAATACACCTTACTCAGCAGCAGTAGCAAGAAGAAGAAGAAGAAGAGAAAACAGCCTTGAGAAAAAGCAGAGAGAGAGAGAGAAATCAAGTGGAAAATTGTATATTAAATATTAAGAGAACAAAAGTCGTCCTATTTTTTAATTGTTATGCAAATATTTAGTTTAATAATTAATATTAATTTCGAATTTTTGTATAAACGCAAATCAAATCTGTTGTAAGATTTCTGTTACACACACACACACACACACACGCACGCACACACTCACACTCTCACACACACAGACTCTGCCGCCACAACAACAAACAGAAAGAGCATTCATTTAGCTGAAACTGAAACTGAAACTGAAAGCAACTCAAGAATTCTAGAGAAGAAACGCGTTGAGCCAAGCGCCGCGTAGACGCGCCACAAGTTTTGTCTGTTTTGGCATTTTGCAACACTAGCCGCACAACGCAACTTGCAACTTGCAACTTGCCAACACTGGCCACCTGCGGAGACTCCAATTGTCTAAGGTCGGCTACAGCTACAGCTGCATATTCGAAAACAATTAAATATCCAAATCTATATATATATATATATGTGATTATATAATCCCAGCTGAAGCACAAAACTCGGGCGTCTACGGAGCGCTATATAAAGCTATATATATATCCATCATATCGGCTCGGTCAGATCGGGCTCAATGTCGTCATCCGCCGCCGCCGCAGCCATCCACACTAAAAAGTAATTGTCCTTTGAAGAAAGTATTTTTTTATTTTTTTTACATTTTTGTTCTGCGTTTGCTTTTCATGTTTTTAATTTTGTATTTTGTATGCTCCCCCATGATGGATTTTTACGCGCTTAAGTTCTCATTTCTAAGTCTAACTATTAATTTATTAATTAGTTTGTAAGCGAACAACAACAAAAGATTAAAACAAGTAAATCAAATGCAAATACCAACTATATTTAAATTAAATAATGGAAATACAATTATAATAAAAGCAACAAATACAAACAAAACCATTGCAGATGATTTTAGATGAGAATATCTCGGCCGAATAATGTCCAATTTGGGAATTTCATACCATTTTGGACCAAATCGGCCGAAGAGCTAGGGGTTACATCACATTTTTTCTCAAAATCGGGGTCATTTCGCAACTCAAAACTCTTTTGATTATTTTTTTATTTTGTCGGGCAAATACGAGCGACGTGGACCTTTAATCTGCCCAAAGGACATCAAAATCGGCCTTATGGTTGCCGAGATATGGCTATTGTCATTTTTAAGGACATCAAATTGACCACCTTAAGGACAACATGTAGTCCTTGCCCTGCCAATTTAGAAAATGTCATAAAAAGGAAGAAAATCCTTCAAGGAGCTGAGGAAAATCAATTTTTGGCTGTAGATCGGCCGTATCCTTGCCAACCATGATGTCCATTTGCCAATCGTAAGTCCTTATCTTCCTAATTCAGTATATATAATGAAAAGGACGAAAGTCCTTTAGACAGCCTAGATATGAGTAAAATTCATTCGTAAATTAACAAAGCCATAACTCGGCCTTATCCTTGCAGATCCTGGCAAATCGTGTGTCAAACAAATCGTATGAACAAGGACCTCAAACTGTCCAAAGGACATCAAAATCGTCCTTCTACTTTCCAAGATATGCGTATTTTACTAAAAAGGACATTTTTTAATTATCCATAACTCGGCCAAATCCTTAAGGATATCGAAAGGATATACCTTTTTGAACTCGTGGGGACCAGGACTATCGATTGGCATTCAAGGATTTCCACGATTCGACAAAAAATTTCACCAACATTTTTCATAGGGGGTAAGTCGCAAAAGTGGCAAAAATCGAAAAAATCGGGTCTAACTTGGCCATTTGAGGGACTATCGGGATGTCCTTTGGACAGTAAATGGTGCTCACCATCCCATTGAAGAAAATATAACAAAAAGGACGAAAGTCCTTCAAACGGCGAAGTTTTATGGGCAATTTTTGCAAAAGAAAATAGGCCATAACTCGGCTATATCCTTGCGTATCCTTGCGAGTCCTGTGTCAAAAAAATAGCATTAACCAGGACTACACGCTGGCCAAATTTCATTAGGATCGTCCTAGTAGTTTCGGAAATATTCAAGGATTTGTGATTATGGGCCATTTTCGTGCGCTCCGCGACTGAAATTTTACAAGTAAACATACAAGTCCTGGGATTCTTAGATGACCCCATATTTTTTTGATGCAGATCGATGCGGGGGGTCTATACGATCCTAACGCACCATGTCCTTTGAAAATCTGCAAGGACATGCCCGAGTTATGGCCTTTTTTCATTGCAAAAAGCGACTTCATATATTTTATGTCTTTGTTAATTTAAATGTGTTTTTATCGTTTCAGACTGACAAATTAAGGACTACAACGAGCTCTAAGGACCTCCACGACTGACCAATCCGATTTTTCCAGGATTGGACTTTAATTAAGCCAGATATAGCTATATATAGCTATTTTTAAGTTCAAATTAGCAACAATTATAATTTGTACTGGTTTTTATTATTTTAAGAGAAATAATTAAGAAAATAAGCATATAAAACAACAAATTTATAAATTTAAACATAAATAAATCAATTATTTAAATAAAACAACGAAATTCCTGTTTTTTTATTTAAAAATTAAAAATCCATTGCATACTCGCCAGGGGCGTCTGTTGGCTGCCGAGATTTTTCTTAAAATCTGCCAAAATACCAGGCGAACAGAAGCGACCAGAAGGTCGACAAAAAATATTTTTAGCTACCGAAAAATTTCATTGCATACCCAAAAGGGGCGCCCTCGCCGCCGGCTGGGTCCGAAATTTTAGCTAAAATTTCCCAAAAACACCAGGCGAACAGAAATGCCCAGAAGGTCGATGAGTTCTTTCAATAAAAATTTTCATTGCATAGCCTTACGGGGCAGAAATGTAACTCATTTAAACTGAGTGCTTTTAAGTAGCAGTTCATGTTAAAAAAGTGCTGTAAGCCGGCTGTTAAGCAACAGCTGCAGCTGCAGCTAACGTAAAAGGGCTCCTGAAAGAAAAGCATACATGTTTTTGGACCATTTCAATGCACATTTTGCAGAGATCTGATCCTTTAGGTTTTCAAGGACTATATCGATGGTATGGTATAACCAAGGATATGCTAGTCAACTAGAAACCATCCAGGGGCCGGAACTGTTGCTGGGCGCGGGTGTAAAAGAAAAGCATACGCATTTTGAACCCTGTTCCTAGGGATTTTGAAAAAACATTGTCCTTTAGGTTCGCTAGGACTATATCTATGATATGAAATAACCACGGATATATAGGTCAACTAGGTACCATGAATAGCGATCATTTGCTGATTAAATGTTGTCCCTGGGCGTGGCAGAGTTGGCTGAAAGATATAAAGTTAATTATTTCATAATCTCGACATATATCCGAGCGGAAATACCTGTTTTGTTATTTTAAAGAGACATAATACCGCCGATCTTAAAACGATATAATTATTTGTTGATAATATGTTGTCCATGAACGTGGGCAGATTAGGCTGAAAAATAAAAAATGAAAAATATATTAGTTTTTGTAAACTCAAATAAGTCGGTTTAATTAACTCCGACTTTGGAAGAAATACCTTTAAGTATTCCTGAGTTTACAAAATCGGCAGAGTTCTACAAAATGTTGATTTGAGAATCGACCCAGATTGGCAACAACGTTTGCATTTTTGGTCAAAATTTAAATACGATTTTGCTTAAGATATATCCATGGCATGAAATAACCAAGGTCATTCAGATGCCAACGTTATTGAATGTTTTCTTGTCCATGGCAGATTTAGCTGCAAAATTAAAATAAAATAAAAATGAATTAGTATTTTGTAAGCCTTTAAAGTCGGTTAAATTAAGTCCGAAGGATATACCTTTTGGGGTTCGCGATATTCCCGATATGGACGATATTAACCCGAGCATTTTCCATTATAATATTTCTCAAAGAACTTCACTCAAATGCTGGCCCAAGTCGGCGCACAGCAAACTGAGCGAGCAATACACAAACTGGAGTTTAAAGCAAGCATAGGCAGATGCACACACACAAACATACACATGTATGCAGAGAGAATAGCCAAATGTATGTGCATACCATATGATTGCCTGTGCATTATCTTCTTAGTCATCGCGCTCTCACGAATTTTTTGCGAAATGAGGAGAAAATTACAATAAAATAAGCACTTTAACATTCGCGAAAGTCTATAAAATCGATGGTTCTTCAAATTTTGGTTTCGTTTTTGTCAAACTTTAGAATACGATTTTTTTTTAATAGCATTTAATACTTCCGAGCCGTAAAAGTCCGAAAATGTATACCATTAGAGATAACGATCGCATTTACTTTTACATTTATAAATTAACTAACACAAAATCATGCTGCGCAGACGCGAAGTGGACAAAAGTCGTCGCACAGCAACTCGAGTGAGAGACGTTCAAAGGTAGATAACGCATAAGCGTATGGTTGCTTATGCGTTATCTACCTCGCTCACTCGAGTTGAATTGCAAAAACACACACACAAACATACATGTGTACGCAGAGATAATCGCTAAATATGTACATACATATGTATGCATGTATGCATGTGTATATGATTGCTTGTGCATTATCTTCTTATAGAACGCGCTCTCACGAATTTTTTGCGAAGTGAGGAGAAAACTACAATAAAATAAACACTTTAACATTCGCGAAAGTCTATTATATCGATGTCAAACATTAGAATACGATTTTTTTATATGGCTATTAATATTTCCGAAAACGTACACGGATGGCATTTACTTGAGAATTAGCACTTATAATTTCTGTTAAAACAGCCTTTACTCAAAGGTAGATAACGCATAAGCAGTCATACACAAGCATTGGTATATATCAATTGCGAAAACACTCAGCCAAACATATGTATGCTAGTGCCTTATCTGCTTCTGCATCACATCCACAAAACGGTATAACAAAATAATAACTGGATAAATAGTCGATCACTCGCAGCACAACAACATGCCATATTGACTAATAGGGCCACACTGAGAAAGAATCAAGTTGCGCAGCTGCATAAAAGCGGCGCTCACCAAGAAGAGCACAGTCGAGAGAGCATCACTGCCGGCAGTTATTAATTGGACCAATCAGCGATCAGCAGCGAAAAGAATCGTGAGCGCGTGAGCGTAAGTCGAAAAATGACAGCGAACACACACACGAACAGCTGACTGCTTATCTCTGGCTTTGGCTTTGGCTCAACTCGGCGCATACACGTGTTTGTGTGGGTGTGTGTGCCATATTCTTAGCAATGCGGCCGGCGCATCGTTCTCACTCGAATTTAGATCGCTTGCTTATTTTCTGTGCGCCGGTTTTTTCTTTCGCTCACAATTTAACACTCTTTTAACAATTTAATCTCAGTATTCAATATGAAGATGTTTTTGTTAGGAGCTGCTAATCCGGGCTTGTCTGAAAGGGTATTATGCATATTTTATTTAGCTTATTAAATAGCTGCTTTCTTAAGAATTGGATTCAGCAAAATAGGAGAATTTTACTCCCAATTATCACAATTCCAACAGCTATTATCAAAATATATAATCAAAAAAAAAAGGTTGTTACAGTTACAGTCCGAAAACATATACCATTAGAGATACAGAGGGCATTTTCTTGAGAATTTCCACTTATAATATTTTCACAAAATAAAGAGAAATATTATCTGAGGAAAACAATTTAGGAATGTTATACATTTTTTGATTCCTACGGATCCCTACTAATGATCTGCCGTCAAACAAATTAAAAAAAAATGTTTTAAAAAAAGTTGTTGACCAAAAAACGATTCGATTGTAAAGTCAAACTTTTTAGAAGAATTTTTGGAATATCTCGGCCAAAAATTGTTCGATTTTGAAACTTTATACCATTTTGGACTATCGATTGGCATTTTATTTGCCTGCCAAGATATTTACTATGAACCTCCACGAGCCCAACAAGGTAACCCTGCCCAAGATCCGACGATATTAAGCCGAGTTACAGCAATTTAAAGCTTTAGAAGAATATCTCGTCCATCATTCAGTCAGTAAGGATAAACAGTTTAGTTGATATAGATAAATGCTATAAATAATCAAATGTAAATGATAAAAATACAGAAGAGGGCGAACAAACTCATACAAAAAATATACAAAAACTATTGTCTAAGAATCGAAGATAAAGAAACTATTTGATCGGCCACTTTAGAAGTCCGTCTCCGGGCTTTGGGGTCTGGCATCCGGGCTTTGGGGTCGGACTTCCGGTTGGGCTTCAGCGGGCGCAGTTGCTTGTTGGCCTGCCAGCGGTTGCTGGGCAATCATATCCGCATTGCCTGCCACATCGTGACCCACGGCCGGCTGTGGCTCCGCCGGGGCTGGCTTGGCGGGATTGAAGGATTTGAGGGTGCCGAGCTGGGCGCGCACATCCGTTTCGGAGAGATGATGCAGCGGCACATTGGCGGGCACCGCCAGGCGCTTCGGACTGGTGCTGCCATCGTCGGGCTTGCGCTTGTCCGGCGGAAAGACAACCTGGGCGTAGGTCACGCCGCTGCCGTTCGGCTCCACGATGCTCTGTGCGCCCGAGGATTCGGTCAGCGAGCTGGGCTGCCGAAAGATGGGCGCCTCTTGGTGGCGCGCTTCGACGGCTTCGTGTGGCGCATCGCGTCGCTGCATGGGCGAGCCGGAGGCAGCTGTCGTCGTCGTCGTCATCGTGGGACTGCCACCTCGAGCGAGCACAGTCGAGGCGGGCGCCGAGCCAGAATCCTCATGCGGCACCGGCGCATACAACGAGGGCGTGTAATTGTTGTCCGTCACCTTGCAGTTGTACAGGTTCAATCCCTTGGCAAAGATGTACACCAGTATGTCAAAGAGCACGCTGGCCAGGATCAGCGAGGCTGTCAGTATGTCCAGTATGTTGCCGTGCTTGGGCGTCTCGCGCAGCAGGCAGCGCTCATAGTTGGGCGCCCAATAGACGCAGGTGGTGCCTGAAAGAGAGAATAAAATAAAGAATGAATAATTACTAAGCATGAAGAAAATTGAATTCAGAGGGGAGGACTGTGAAAAAGTAAACATGGAGGACACGAAACCGGTTTTTTTTTAATTGGTTGCGATTTGTAAAAAAAGGAGAAACCTAGTTCAGAACCGACTCTAATGCGAAGCATTGGCTCAAACCGGTAATAGTCAGTCAGTCAAGCAATCAGTCAAACAATCATCAATTATATGGAGTAAGAGATGATTTAGTTCAAGATGATTTTTATTTTTATTCCCTTAGCTCTTTCTGCTTGGAATGTGCATTAATAGCTATGTGAGTCAGTCAGTCAATCAATCAACCAGTCAGTCAGTCGGTCAATCAATCATCAATTTCAACTTCTCAGCTTTTGTTACTAGGATTAGTAGCTATGTAATTGTAGTCAGTAATTGTAGAGTTGATTAGGAAGAGATGTCCCAATTCAGTCAATCAATCAGTTGGTGATCAAGCAATATGATTTAGATAGAGTTGATTAAGACTCTCAGCTTTTGCTGTTTGGACTGTGCTTTACTAGCTGAATCAATCATCAGTTAGTCAATCAAATAGTAGTACTAGTCGGTCATTCAATCAATCATCAATTTTATGGAAATAATTTAGATATAGTTGATTAGGAAGAGGTTTCCGATTTCAACTTCCTAGCTTTTGCTGTTTCGACTGTGCACTAATAACTGTATCAATCAATAGTCAATCAAATAGTAAGTCAGTCAATCAATACTCGATTTTTTCGATTAAGGAATAATTTAGATAGGTATTTTACTGTTTGGACTGTGCTTTAGTAGTCAATCAGTCAATCAATCAGTTGGTCAGTCAAAGAATCATTCATTTTACCGAGATAAATATTGATTGATGGAGATGTTTTTCGAGAGCAGTTAATATCAAAATATCTTTGTGCTGATTATTATGTTTGTGTAAAAGTGATTGATGGAGATGGAAGTAGCTGTACTTACGTGTGACCAGATCGTAGCTGAGATGCACGGGCACATAGGCAAAGAGTCCGACGAGCATCAGCTCAAAGGCCAAGGCGAGCGTCTTGTCCTGCGGCAGGACAGCGCGCAGCGTAATCAAGGTCTTGCCAATGACGGCCATGCCCAGCAGAAAGGCGGCGGATATGCTGAGGATCTGGAAGATGATGATGGTCTTCTCGCAATTGTCGGCGCTGCAGGCGCCAGGCGTGGCCCGCGTACTGCCCGCCGAATTGATTGTCTGATCGCCCTGGCAGCTGCAGCCCTCGTACAGCTCGAAGCTGTTGATGGCGCTGCGCCTGGTGCAGCCGGCATAGCAGGGCGAGAAGTAGGTGATGCTGCTGTTCTCCGGACAGACGGGCATGAAGGCGGTGGGCGTGCACAGGCACTGGCTGGCGCAATACGGCTGCGTCAGCTTGCCGCCGACGACGCCCGCAATGGCGCCCACGTCGCAGTTGATGAACACGTAGCCCACATAGATGACGACCAGATGGAGGCCCAGACTGATGCCAATGCCCGTTATGGTGCGCGCCGAGAGCTGCGCCTTCGAGATGATCAGACCGGCAATCAGCATGCCCACCGCCATGACGGGCGGGCGCAGAAAGTACGAGACAAAGGCGGCCTTCCACTCCTGGGTGAGCCCATCCTGTTCGTTGTAGGGCAGAAAGAAGCGGCTCTGCATGTAGTTCTCCTCCTGCAGGCCAAAGTTGAGCACGGCGCTCTGCAGGCACATGATGGCCAGCAGATTGCACATGAGCAGGCGATTCTTGAAGAGACGCTTCAGCGAGGGCCAGAAGTCCGTGTCGTCCATGTAGGTGGAGAACTGGCTGCCGAAGGTGCGCATGTTCGACTGCTCGATGATGCGCTGCGCCGCCTGATGGATGACCGTCTTGGGCAGCCGCTTGGGGAACAGGCCCAGCAGCACGGCTCCGACAAAGATCAACGGCGCCAGCACAATCCAGCCGAGCCACCAACCGACATGGGTGAGTCCGACGCCCAGCACCAGAAACGAGCCCACCTGCTGGCCAAAGGCACGGGCAGCGAGCACAACGCCAATTACGGCGGGACTGTCCTGCGAGAGCGAGTTGTCATCGATGTAGCTGACGCCCAGCGTGTAGTACGCCAGGGAGCCCATGCCCAGGGCCAGCTGGAGCACAAAGAGCAGCACCAGGGTCAAATTGCTGCTCTGCGACTCGGTTAAGGTGAGCTTCTGGAACTGCGCCAGCGATGTGGCGCACAGATTCGCATCCACCAAGGCGTCCTGCGACTGAACACCATCAGCACTGGGTAAAAGGAGGGAATCAGTTTAGATTGATAGTTGAGCAGTTGTCTCTTTGCACTTACAAGTTCATTATGGCGGGTATCACTGTAATCACACAGGCCACCGACTGCAGCATCAGGGTGCCCACCAGCCACTTGATCGGATGATAGACGTCCGCCCAATAGGCGAAGGCCAAGGCGAACACCGCCTGGAATAATCCACTGCTGACCAAAAGCCAATCTGTGTGCACCAAATAAAGAATTCATTTTGAATTAAATCAATAATTATAAATAAAATATAATTAAAGTTAATATTCGAAAGAAATCAAAACAAACCGACCGAAAATTTGAGCCTAGAATTCCCTATTGTTTGATTTGATTGGTTATTAAAATAATCTCTACACATAAAACTGTTTGTCCTGACTGACTGACTGATTGATTGACTGACTTACTGATTGATTTACTGAAGGACTGACTCACTGACTGGCTGACTAAATGATTGACTGACTTACTGATTGACTGAAGGAATGACTGACTGACCCATTGCTTAACTGACTGACTCACTAACTGATTGACTGACTGAAGGAATGACTGACTGACTGACTGACTGATGGACTGACTTTCTGATTGACTGACTGACTTACTGATTGATTGACTGAAGGAAGGACTGACTGATTGATTGACTGACTAACTCACTGATTGGCCGACTGACTGATTGATGACCAACGCACAGGTTTTGGGAAATTCCCCCGCATGTGTGGAAAAATCGCGAAAAACGTTTGTATGAGACTTTTTTGTTTACCATCCTATCGGCGTCCAACTCATTTTCAAAGATCATTCCTCAAAATCATATGATATTTCACACATTTCGATAAATGCATTTCCCTTTGATGAAATTGGGGGTCAAAGATTTGGTGGGTGACGTTTCATGTTTAAAGTCATTTCTAAGGATCTATATGAAAAATCTAAGTTTCCTCGGTGGAAAATGGGATTTGAAGATCTTTTGTCTGAATAGCTTTAAAACTATATTCAAAGCTCTACATAAGAACTTAATGAATACGTGTTTCAGCGATTTTGGAAATTTCACCCGCAACTGTGGAAATACTATGGAGTTTAGGGATCGAACAGACGAAAATAGTATTTAAAATTTATATTGCACAATATTTTTTCCTAAATAAATTAAAACAGACGTTTGAAAAATTTAGATCGACTGATTACGCCTAATCGAATCGCGTTATTCCTTAAAATTGGAATCGGAAGTGAATATGCACGAAAAACCGTTCCAATGTTTCGCACATTCCGCACATTTCGACATCATATTATATGATAACAGATAAGTTCCAGCTACAAACAAATGGAATTGTCAGCAAAGAAATGAATCGTACATTTCTTGATTTGAGCAGACGTGATAATGCAATTGATATACAAGAGTTTACGTAAGTGGAAATGTGCCCGAACTAAACTGATTTCAAGAAATCGCGATCCCAATAATATTAGAGAAATAAAAGAAATAAAATGTGTGAAAAACTTGGCCAACTGTTTTGATTGCACATTCTGAAATCGAAGCAACAAGTTGGCTACTAGAATTCGATGACACACACTCGTACACACACACACACACTCGAAATCATAAACAATATCGCAAAACTGATAAAGTCCTCTTTGCCTCTCGCTCGCACGTTTTCTATCTGGAAAACCTCAGCCCCATTCGGCGGAGCATTGAGGCCAGCAGCTCGCATAGCTGTAATGTATATTCTCGTTTTTTTTGCGATAAGTTTTGCTTACTCACCGACTAGGAGGGGATTGTAGCCGTGCTGGAAGGCGGCCTGCTTGGCCGAGACCCGGAAGTAAAGCTCGCAGGCGCCCTGCAGCAGCCCGGAACTGAGCAGGACTACGGTGAAGGTGCGCAAACGGGCGTATTGCTGGCAGCCGGGGCCGCGACACCAGCCCAAACCCTTAATGCCGCAGTCGACGCTGTCTGTGTGGGATATCAGAAGAGACATATATTCACATATATATATTTATACTATATGATCACGCACCATCGGGTATATTGTTGGCATTTACCGCGATCTGCGATAGATCCGAGTTGCGCGTATTTTGCGCCATTTCGCGCTATTCGAAGTTCGATTATTCAATTATTCAATGATTCGTTTCGTTTAACTCAAATTTAACTCAATTCTTGTTTCGATTCACTTAATTTGTTTGTTTCATATTCGCGCGCGACTCTTTGAGGCAATTGTCACTTGTCGACTGAATGCGCAGGTGAGAGCATCGCAGCACAGGTGCGAGCATGGAAATACCATTATTTTTTATATATTATTCTTTGTCTTCTGATAAGCATTCCGTTTTATCTTATCGCCACTTAATGCCATTCCATTTCCAGCTGCGTACTCAACATTATTACGCATTGGCAGCATGCTGCCAGGCATTCTGCAACATTCGACTTGTAGCTAAGCATTCGAAATAAACTTGTGAGCAACATGCGCAGCACTGCAACATTCGTTGACAACATTCGAGTTGATGTTGACAACAGCCTCTGCTGCATGTAGCCAAGCATTTAGACTTGGTTTGGATCAGTTGTTCACAGCAACAAGGCATTCAACTTCTTAGCAACATGTACCGAAGCATTCGAATGCACACGCAGCAACATTTACAGCGGATCAGTTGTTGCCAATAAAGATACACAGCAACTTGTAGCTAGGCGTTCGAATTGTAGCTTGAGGCAACTTTCGATTTGATATGCTCAACATCACGCCCAGACCAACATGTAACTAAATATAGATTCAAATCTGATTTTTAAAGCCACTTGAACTAAATTTTCCAAGTGAAGTCGGCTTCTGATTGATTCGAATAGATGCAGCAGCATGTAGCCAAGTATTCGAACTAGATTCGGATGACATATTGACAGCAACAAGTCATTCGAACCGCAACATGAAGCGCGGTTTGATGAAGAAACACTGCTGAGAAACATGAATAACCTCCGATTCGACATACAGACAAGAAAGGGCTATCTTCGGCACGCCGAAGATTTAATACCCTTGCAGATCCAACCTTTTCATAATGCTCATAATTGCATTAATTGCCTTGCCCGTATCTAAGAAGCACAGGGAATATAAATAATGCCGAGTATTTAAGATATCTCGAAAAGCAAAAAGTTTTTCCTCATTTTCGACCGATCGTTCCTATGGCAGCTATATGATATAGTTGCCCGATATAAATAAGATTTTGCATAGATGTAGGGAGCATAGTGAAACTTATTAGTGCCAAGTTTGGTTAAGATATCTCTAAAAGCAAAAAAGTTTTCCATATAACATCTTAATTTTCGAGCGAACGCTCCTATGACAGCTATATGATCTAGCGGTCCGATCCAGTCAGTTCCGATATATGTACTTCGTGAAACAGAAAGACGGATATCTGAAAAGATTCATGATGATAGTCTTAAAACTGAGAGACTAGTTCGCATAGAAACAGACAGACGGACATGGCTATATCAACTCGGCTATTGATACTGATCAAGAATATATGTATATACTTTATGGGGTCGAAGATGTCTCCTTCTAAGCGTTACACATTTCGAGACAAAATTATAAGACAAAAATAATATACCCAAGGGCAGAATATGTTTAAGCAAAGTAGAACAAGCTTATAGCCTTATCAAATAAATACACGAGATATTAAACTTAATTTAAGCAAGCTTTGCAAGAGTTTGTGGAAACAAATTCACTTCATAAAAAAAGTGTAGACTGAAAACTATTCTCGTTGTTTTCCAATATGAAAATAATTCTAATTTCGCTTTGGCTGGTTGGCTTTGGGTCATGCACAAATGTTCCCAGGACGCCGCCCGTTCTGATCTGGGGCATCAGTTTGTAAGTCTGGCAACGCTGTCGCGGACATTAACTGTACTTTATGGGAGTCCTGCCTGTTCTACCCACAGACCTGATGCTCGCAGCATCTTTCAGGTAATCAAGTCGAATCATTTTACGAGTCTGCTGCGGTCGCTGCTCAAAGAGCACATGCTGATCGTCTACTTTGAGCCGGCGGTAAGTTGTCTTCTTCTTCTCGAACTTCGCTAAACACAGGCTAATTAGCTCCTTGCCCCCGCCTGTCAGTTGACCTCGAAGGATTTAAGCTGCATGGAGTGCTTTACGTATCTGCGTGGCGTGCAGCCGCGCACCTATTACAGCCAGGTGCAGGATCCGATCCTGAGCGTGGAACTGCTCTTCGCGGAACGCGAAGAGGAAATGATCTGGAACAGAAAAAGAACCATGTTGACGCTGACCTGCCGCACGAATAGCATCCACGTATACAACTTCAGAGATTCAAATCTGACCACACACGGTGGGCAGAGTACTCAATCAATTTCTAATACACACACACAGACAGTCGGTGAATATCCGGCCAGGTGTTAAAACTCTGCTACAAATTCTTTTCTGCCGCTTTACCAAACAATCTTCCATATTAAGTTGTGGTCATAAAAAGGGGACTAGTTAGCTTTATAGAACAATTTTCACAGCTCTTAAATTTCAGACATTCCTTTCCACCTATTTTCCGCCCGTGCGAAATTCAATTTTATTTGCGTGGTTTTCAAAATGAATTAAAAATCGATTCCTTTAAAAGCAAAAAATTTGTAATCAAAGTTTTCCGCACATTTCACTTCCGTGAACTTCTAAAAATCATTGATGCTGTAAACTCAACTTTCACTCATACAACCTCACAAGCCTTACTTTCCGCCAGATGAGATGGATTTGTCGAAAAGTGTAAATTACCTCTGAATTTTCGCAAAGATCTTTGATGAAAATGAACTTCATGCAATCGTTATTCGCGAATTTCCCTCAAAAAATAGAAAACTAAAAGTTTTACGAGTTTAACATACGATTTCAAACTTTTTTCATTTCACTTTTTGAGATCCACGGCGAAAATTGATTTTAAAATGCATGACAAATGCTTTGCTCCAACAAAGCCGGGTAGCATTTTCTTGGTTCAAAAATACACTCAGACTTTTATATTGATGCCCCGCAGATGATTTTATGGAAGCCGTGGCCAGTAACTTGGAGAACTGTCCGGTCATCCATCTGTACACGGCGCACGCGGAGCAGACGAAGGCGCTGCAGCGGCGCCTTCAGCGCGAGAACGACATCATGAAGTTGGGGAAGCCGACGACGACGACGACGACAACAACAACAACATCAAAAAAGCCTAAAATGGGAGACAGCGACGTCAGGGAGCACGTGCCGCGCAACCGTTCGGCGGAGGATCCGCCAATTGTTGTGCTGCGACATCCGAAGGGTATCCTTTCGCTGGACAAGATTGTGTTCGCCGAGGAGATACCGAAAGGCCTGAATGTCTACTACAAGCGCATTCACATCTACCCGAGCGGCAAGTCGTCGCTGAGCCTGCAGCTGAGGGATAAAGCGAATATTTTAAAGGGCGTCAACTTCATTATTGACACCTCGCTGGGCCCGCTAAAAATTAAGTTGGCGCCCGTTGTCGGTTGTTGGCGCATTCCAAAATTAATATTCCAAAATACGACATTCATACCCAGGGATTTGCTGTTCTATGGCAAGAGGTTTAGCTTCTGCTGCCACGCCGTGACCGCCTACTCGAGCCAAGGAGCGCGCCTCACCCTCTACTCGTTGAGCATGGACGTTGTCCTTGTGGGTAAGTGATCAGCATATATGATCGAAAGGTTGCTTCCTTTTTTCACAATTCAATTTTGCACTGGAATCGATCAGTACCCTCTGATCTATAGCTACAAGTATGTAGCTTATATTATATTAACATAGAGGGATAATTACAATGAAGAGGAAGGAGGCAGTTAGATAGGTCGCCGGAGTGTAGCCTTTGGAGGCGCCTCTCTCTCTGATGGGTCAGCCGGGGCTTGTCGGCGTAACGGCTGCTGAGGAAGTTTACCTGATCTCCGACCTTTGTTTGGCACAGTTCGCATTCGATGGCGTCGGTTGTCGCGTACCATGGCAGGCCGGCAACCTTGAGTGCAGCCTTAGCTTGGACTACTCCTATTCAACGCAGCTGACGTGCTGACGCCGTGCCTCAGACTTGGATAGCGTATGACCAGATCCTTTTAATAAGCTGCGCCATCGTGGAGACAAGCAGCTTGCGTTGCGACTTATAATAGCCAGTCGAGCCTTTCGAGTCTCAAGCATTGTTCTCTTGCTGAGATATGGAACTCATATGGGGGATGAGCCTACGGTGCAAGTGGACGCCCAAGTAGCAGAAGGAGCTCGGTTGCTCAATGGTCCCTCCATCGGTCGAAAGTTGCTATAGTCCAAGACTCCATTTCCCATATTTTTAGATTTAGGTGGCAGCTGTGCGACCAACAAACCTTAGCTCCACCCTATGTAATATGCTTTCGTGAATAGCTTCGGTGCTTATTCTCCGATCTTTATGATATGTTCATGTGGGTGGAAATTCAAAGATCAGGTTTCTAGCACGAACAGGCATCTAGACAGACGGACAGGGATAGATCGATCGACTTTGGATTCAGAGATGCCTCCTTCTGCACTTTTGCACACAAATCAAACCTTTTCAGCCATTTTCAATGGGCTTAAGGAATAACAATGGAGGTTTTCTTAATAGATCAAACTAACTTTTAGACTTTACGATTCGTTTTGGGTTTAAGCTGTTGCTGTACTCCTCTGTTTGCCAGAATAATAAAACTTAAAATCCTTTTGACACTTATAAAATTTGGTATTTTTTGTAGATACCATTTCGGCCATGGATCCCGACTATATGCCGAGGGCCTGTTGGCACTGTGAGGAATATCTGACGCCCGGCATTACGCAGGCCATATTCACGGTGTCCATACTGTTGTCCCTGTTAGGTCTGGGTCTAACCATGTTTCTGGAGATGGGTCGCAACATGCGGATGCCGAACATTAATGACCCGGAACCGCATTTGAAGGTCGCCTCCGAGCGTTAAACGGATCGGAAAGGGATCGCGAACTTGAAAGGCGAACCTCGCCCGAACCATCGTTGCACATTCTACAATTTTTCTATATTCTAAGCTAATTCACTTGCCTACAAATCTAAACACAATGAGGAGACAGAGAGAGGGAGGGATGTATGGAGGGGGGGAGGAAGGTGCTTTAATAGTAAAATAGTGTCATTGTCGCGTTTGTTGTTGTTTCTTATTGTATTGTTATTGTTATTAATAAATATTACTATTGTTGCTGTGCACACACATAAATCAATTCCCAGAGAGAGGGCGACAGACAGACAGAGAGAGAGAGAGAGAGCGGGAGAGAGAAATATGCATTTGGCTTTCACGTGGCGTATGCGTAATGCCAGCTCTTTGATAACATTTGCAGTCCACAATATTTGCTGATAATGTGTTTTTATTATCCGCATTATCGAGCCACAATTATCGACACTGCGTGTGGAGCCAATGGGCCAGGCCGACGAATTTATTTCAATTTTTTTTCCAAGCTGTCAGTTTGATACGCGCCACGCGGCCGCAAGGTTCTCGCTCTTGGTTTCCCTCTCTCGGTTTCGGTCGGTCGGTTCTCAGTGATATGATAACGATTCCTGATTCGCCTGAACAGTTAACGATCCTCGCCTTTTGATCACAAGAGTCGCTGTGCTTCTAAGGAACTTAACCGTATTTAATTGGGCCTATTTTAAGTGCTTTCGAGTGCCGATAAGATTGATCATAATTTGCAAACGCCTTGTGATAAAATGTAAATATGCTAAAAACAAAAAAGAAAGAACTGACGAATTGGAACTTTTTTATTGTAATTCCAAATTAGCTCAAGTGGAATGTATATTAAATATGTTTTCTTATTATTTGTTAGAGATAACTTTAATTGTACTCAATGTCAAAACATCTTATTTCAAGAACTTTTGTTTAGTTCCTAAATTACTTCATCATGATTACGTGATACTCAATGCGAACAAAACTCATTATTCAAAACTTTTTCAGGAAGATTATGGAAATGTTTTTTAAATATTAAGAATACGATTTTTTTTTAGAAAGTCATTTTTTGGATATATGATTAAAATGAACTCTTCTTTCAGAATTTCGAGCCTGCAAATTCCTATTCCAAGTGATTCTTTTAAAATGTTCTAATTTAAACAAACAAAGAGATTAATTCATAACTTTTTAAGGAAGATTATGGAAAGTTTTTATATTTAAGACAAGAGTTTTATTCAGAACGGCATTTTTTGGATATATAATAAGAAGCTCAACTCTTGATTAATCTATCTATCTATTAAAATACTCTTCTAGAATTCGAGCTCGAGTTCGAGTTCCTAAACCTTAAGCGAATGTTTCTTTTGTCTTCTAAAAAAAAAACAGTGACCGATAGCTACTGCTCGGGTTCTTTGTTTGCAGTTGATTTGTTGTCAGATCGCCTGGTATTATCTGGCATGGCGTACTATCTATCTTTGCGGGCTTAGTTGCATTTATGGCTGCAATAGACATTCGTCTATTTGCCTAGCACAAATTGGGGTCGTTTAAGGGGGCATGAGATTAAAGACGCACAACAAGGCAGAGCTTAAAATTAACGCAAGATTAATGAATTTCCATGTCAAGACATTAAGCTCGTCAAAATTGTAGCCAATTAAGATGTGAAGAAGTGTGAGAAATTTAATTAAAAATAATATTCTGTGGTCTAAATAGAACGCTTCGGTTCCAAACACTATTCTAATTTGCGAAGAGTGCAAATCAAATGCGAAATTGATATTAAAACGTGCAACGCCGGGCAATTTCTGCTACTATATTTTAAAATTATGTTGCTAAAGGTTTCTCTGAAAATCTTTTACTTGAAAGTGGTCAAGAGTTTTTGCGTGTTTGATTTAAAATATTTGAATTCTAAGAAAGAAGGTTCTAACATTTAGTTTTTTCCTTTTTTTCTTTCAATTGTTTTAAGATAAGCAATTAATGTGCCACAAGCGATTATTAAGCCAATTTCTTTTGTGTACACGTAATTTTATTTACCGTTTTTTTAAATTTACTGCCGAAACCCTCAAGTTAATCTTTGTTATTACCGTAGGCCAATTGTTGGCCAGTTACCACTTATTAATTTGTCCAATACCATGAACTTTTGTTTACATACTCTATACTTGAGATTGCGACTAAGGGGTATATTAGGCGCAAGCAATAGATAAAAGGAGACGCTTCCCAAAACCAGACCTCTTTTATTAAGGAATTGAGGGCATTCTTTGAATTTAAAATATAATGTAATTTGAATCTGAATGCAGCTATTAGAACCTAAGAGATTTTTTCAAAAAACATGATTTCAATATTTTTATCGATAAATTGAAAACGGGGCAAGCTATCGATTATCGGAAAGGAACTCGTACTGCGTGCGCACTAGGAGGACCTACGTTCAAAATTTCATGTCTCTAGCTCTTATAAGTTCTGAGATCTTTGTGTTCATACATACGGACGGACGGACAGACAGACGGACATGGCTGGATCGACGCGGCTATTGATGCTGATCAGGAATATATATGCTTTATGAGGTCGGATATACTTCCTTCTGCCTGTTACATACATTTTCACAAATACATGATATTCCCTCTTTTTAATCATATTTAATGTTGTCAGGGTACGACACTTTATACAGGGTATTCTTTGGTCTATCATGCAGGACCTCAGCCGGCCAATGCGATTTGCAAGAGCTCAGCGTAAAATACGTGATAAGATAATAGTTTCACCAGACCAGACGCTATATAATCTCATAGAGGCCATTTAGCCAATTTCTGTGGACAATCCTGACCAATAACAAAACTTATTTTTAATTCTAAATTTCAAATAAAGTGAAAATTCACATTAGTTGGCAGTTGGAGGAGAAGAAGACAAACGGAATTCGCAGATCACTTTATAGGTCCGAAAAACTGGCCAAATACATTGAGAGAGCTTATCTAATCAAAAGGTGGACTAATATGATCTTGAACAAGTGCCGGGCCTAATCAATTATTGTACTCAGAATTCCTCATATCGTACCATTTCCAATTTTATAGACGTCGAATTGGGCTCAGAATAAAGGCAATAGTCACGGTTAACCAACTTTTTTGAGCCAAATAAAATTATTCATAAGTCAATTCATATCGGACATCATTATGAAATTGAACGCTCCACAATTGTAATTTACAGGTGGCAAGAAATAATATTTGCTTTTCTAGTTTGTATACTCTTTGAAAATGCTTAAAGAGGGGCATGCTGGTTTCGACAGGCAGAAGGATGTGTCTCTAGGAAGATATATTCCTGATCGGGATGAGGAACTGAGACTGTCCTTCTGCCCATCTGAATCATCGCGTTAATACTCGACATAAACCTTAAATATGAATCATTTGATGCATCCTAGTCGGGCATTCCCGACTGACCCTCGTCAATGTTCAGTTTCAGTCATCAATTCGCATTTGTATTAATCTTATCAGTTGCCCACCAAGCGAGACATGCTCAAGTCCAACCACTGAACAGACAATCGATTACAATAACAATCACAACAACAATTACAACAACAACAACAATCATCATCACCCGGAGCCATGGCGGAGCGGAGGAAACAGCAAGTGCCCCCGGGCCATTACTTGTGCGGCCTGGGCAAGTGGCATCCCGCCTGGCTGCAGAAATACGCGACGACCAAATGGTTCATGGGCGTTTACGGTCTGCTTGGCACCATCCAGGCGATGTCCTACATGTACTTCATTGTCACGTTGACCACACTGGAGAAGCGCTTCAAAATACCCAGTCAAACTACAGGTGAGCAGTTCTGGACTGCGCAGTTCAGTTTGATTGATGGCGGATTGATTTGGCATGATTTGATATATGATATTAATTACCAACAATTAATTGTAAAGTACATTCACATTGTCGGAATCATATTCTATAAATATCTATAAAAATAATTTGCGGGTAATATTAAACGGCTTTGCACGGCTCAAAAGTTGACAGGAAAATTGAAGTTTTGGTCATGCAACATACCTCCCCCAAGGCGCCTCAAACATGGTTTGAAACAAACCGGGTTTGAACCTAACCGTGTTTGAACCGAACCGGTTCGAGCCCACAATTTCAACTTATTTTTAACCGTGAACCCAACATCTAATCAAACCCGATCCGTGCTCATACGGTTTGAGCTGTGCTTCAATCATCAGTCATGCAGTCAATCAGTCACTTATTAATAGATTAACAGTATCTTAGTATGTACTTCTTCGATCCTCACCCTCTGCGATGCCTAACTCGATACCTATTCCTTTCGCAGGCATCGTTCTCAGTGGCAATGAGACATTTTGTACTTCAATCATCAGTCATTCAGTCAATCAGTCACTTATCAATATAAATAGTTATTAGTACTTTTCGATACTTACCCTCTCCGTTACTCGATACCTATTCATTTCGCAGGCATCGTTCTCAGTGGCAATGAGATATCTCAGATAATGTTGTCGCTGATATTATCCTATATCGGTGGGCAGCGCAATCGTCCGATGTGGATAGCCTGGGGCATTATGATCTGTGGCTTATCCTGTTTTATTCTGGTGCTGCCCCATTTTATCTATGGCGCTGGCGATGAGGTCCTCCAGCTGACCAAGGAGTACCAGGATAGTCTCTGGAATAGCTCCCTGAATCTGAATTACACGTCCGTGGTAAGACCCGATCCCGTTTATATATATATGTATATGCATACATTTATTGCAACTGTTGTCATTTCAGCAGAATGTCAGCTCGATGAAGGCGCAATCGGAGCAGCTGTGCGGAGTGGGCAAGCCCGAGGAGAACTGCGACAGTCTGTTCACGTACGTTCCCCTGGTGCTTATCTTCTTCTCGCAGTTTGTGCTGGGCATAGGCAATACCCTGTACTATGCCCTAGGTCAGACATATCTGGATGACAACACGAAGCGCACGAATACGCCGCTCATGTTGGCTGTGGCCATGTCGCTGCGCATGATTGGACCCGTCTTTGGCTTCTTCTTCGGTGGGTTGCAATGATTTCCAGCTTTCTCCAGCTTCCGATTGCATGCTTATCCTGTTAATCCGCCTCTCTCCTTTTAGGTTACATCTCGTTGAACACCTTTATCGATCCCAGCAAGACGCCGCTGATTGATGACAAGGATCCACGCTGGCTGGGCGCCTGGTGGCTGGGCTGGGTCATTCTGGGCACCCTGATGTGCATGTTCTCCGGCCTGATAGGCCTCTTCCCCAAGCGCCTGCCCAAGAAAACGGATGACCCCAAACACAATTCGCATTTGCCGCACGTGCTGCGGCACGAGGAACTGAAGCGCGAGGAGGGCCTCTCGCTGAGCAGTCGCGTCTCCTCGAACGCCGCCCTGGACAGCATTGGGGCTGGTGGCAATGCCGATCTGCCCAAGCTAAAGGATTTTCCAACTGCTCTGATGCGTCTGTTGCGCAACAAGCTGCTCATCTTTAATATCACCTCGGGCGTCTTTTACATTCTGGGCGCCTCCGGCTTCATGACCTTCCTCTCCAAATACATGGAGGTGCAGTTCCACAAGGCCGCCCACAGCGCCACCATTGTCGTGGGTCCCGTCTCCATTCTGGGCATGGTCGTGGGCCTCTTCGCCTCCGGCCTGGTCATATCCAAGAAGAAGCCCTCCGTCAGCAAGGTGCTCATGTGGAATGTTTTTGTGGGCTTTGTCTACATTTGCGGTCAGTTTTATATTTGTATTTACATTTTTAATTTAATTTTTTTATATTTTCACTTAATTCGTATTCTTTTCTCATCTACTTTCGCTTTACAGGCCAGCTGTCGTATGCCTTTTTATACTGTCCCGATTCTGTATCAATGGCTCATGTGGGCAAGTAAGTAATCGCCTTAATTAATTGTTTTCTCTTTTTCGTTATTCACTTTCTTTTTTAATATTTAATGCACACAATAATTAACTTCTCACTCAAGTCCTGCAATTTTCACTACTCGGTTATTTTTCGATCTGCCATTCGCCTCGCTGCATAAGCTTAGCCTTACTGAGCGTTGCCACCCTGTTATACTTTCATGCACTCGTGACGTCACTGTTCCTGCACTCTTCACTACTCGGTTCTTTTTCGATCTGCCATTCGCCTCGCTGCATAAGCTTAGCCTTATTAAGCGTTGCCACCTTGTTTTATTTTCATGCACTCGTGACGTCACTGTTCCTGCACTCTTCACTACTCGGTACTTTTTCGATTTGCCATTCGCCTCGCTGCATAAGCTTAGCCTTATTAAGCGTTGCCACCTTGTTTTATTTTCATGCACTCGTGACGTCACTGTTCCTGCACTTTTCACTACTCGGTTCTTTTGCGATCTGGCATTCGCCTCGCTGTATAAGCTTGGCCTTATTAAGCGTTGCCACCTTGTTTTATTTTCATGCACTCGTGACGTCACTGTTCCTGCCAATCATTAAAACTTGCATTCACGCCAATTTCTCTTAAACAGCTTCAATTTGACGACCAACTGCAATGCGAACTGCTCCTGCGAGGGCGTCAACTACTCACCTGTGTGCCATGAGGCCAGCGATACTACCTACTTCTCGGCGTGCCATGCCGGCTGCACCAGCTGGAACGCTGACAGCAAGCTGTACGATGAATGCGCCTGCCTCACGGTAGATCTCAAAGCTGTACCCCAATATGGTGGCTCGGAGCGCTTGCTAATGGAGCTGCAGCCCACGGGAATGTCGCTGACAGAGAGCACCGATCTGGACATAGATCCCGCAGCCGTGCCGCTGCTTAACGATGACTATTCCACCGAGCTGCACGAGGATCTGTTGACACGCAGCAAGCGAGCTGTGGCCGATCTGATACTGCGTCCGGGCGTTTGCATGGATGGCTGCAATGTGGCCTTCTGGACGTTCTCCATTACCTCGATCATTGTCAATTGGTTTGGCAGTTCGGGTCGCATTGGCAATGTGCTGGTCAACTATCGCTCCGTGTCGCCGGAGGATAAGTCCTTTGCCCAGGGCTTGGCTTTGATGATGATCAGTTTGTTTGCCCTGATACCGGGTCCGATTATCTTTGGCCGTATCATTGACTCCACCTGCCTGGTGTGGACTAAGACCTGCCATGGCAATGGCAATTGTCAGCTCTATGATCAGACGAGATTCCGTTATTCCGTCAACTTTTTATCCTGCCGTAAGTTTTCACCAAATATACACACCTTATAACATACCCTATAATCTCTTATATGCTTTCTCTCTTCTCCCTCTCCCTCTATCTCTCTAGTGTTCACCTTCATTGGCGTCTTCTTTGATTGGCTCGTCTGGTACTACGGCCGCGATCTGGATCTCTATGGCGATAAGGAGGCCAAGCGCCAGGAGCAGGCTACAAGGCGGGATCAGCCCATTACGCCGCTGTTGGCCAAGAAGACGTCGGAGCAAGCGGATTGCTAACCAGCTTCCAAATGCAATACTCAAAAATCTGGTGCCAATCATGAAGAGTGTTCAAGATATGGTAGACTTCAGCTATGGGACCGATTGCAAAGCCATTTGTACAAACATTTCGCAGAACTACGGCTAACTATGGATGCATCAATTGTCGTGTGTGTGTCGTTTAAGTTTTGTTAATACATTTTTATCTGTAATTTGTTAATAAATAAGATGAATTTATATGTTATAATGTTTAAATCGTATACCAATAAAAGTTAAAAATAATTCGAATCGATTTTCCAGTTACCTGTATTCAGACGAGTTTGCAGGGTTGCATTAATGAACCTGTTCCAAGGGTTACATGTTAGAGTTTACTTCTTGCTATTCTCTTGAAGAGAACCCTTTTTGACTTAGCTCCACAATAACCGTTTTTCTGAGAAATGTTCACTGATCTAGTTCGCTGGTTCTTTCAGTTCGATATTGTGAGCTTATCGATAAGTTTCTTAATCTTTCGTCTGTGCCTGGTTCAAGAAAGCGCTAAAATTGCTTTCTAAAATATGAGTTATTAAATCTATATTTTAATATGATTTATCTGTTATGAATACAAATTTAAGGATTTTAAACTGGTTTTTGTTTTGGTTCGTTTTTTTTTGTCTTCTTTTTGTTTTTTTTTTTCGTTTCGCTTTTTATTGATAAAAAATGTTCAAATTTATACGGATCTTGGAGTTTGTTGTTTCGCTTTTGTCTTTAAATATGTATACATACATGTATAATAATAATACATTTAATGTTGTATAAATATTCCCGTTTTGTCTATATAATTTCTATTATTTCGTTTTTGTATCTATATTCATACAATTTATATTTATTTATCAGTTGCATAGTTCTTTTCGTGTCATTATATAATCATTTTTAGTTACGAGTTTGGAGAAACATTTAAATATCATCATCATCATGTATAACTGTCGGAGAGATTTTTAACAATTGTATTTTCATTATTTCTTTTGTTCGCCTTTTTTGTTTACTAGAATGCGCGGTAAGCGTTAAAAAGCAGCTTGTTTTTCATTTAATATACGCGTTTGCTTTTTAAATACATTTCAAGTTAATTGAATTAACTCAAATATGGGCGAATATTTAACTTAGTTATGTATTATTTTCGTTCGTTATACAAGTATTGTGTAAATGGTAACAACATTTCAATTCAACTTTCAAATGAACCATTCCATTAAATTAGATACACAAGTGTTTTTTTTTTTTCTTGGGTTGCTTAAGAATTACGAATTTATAGCGAGAATTATAAAATTTTGAAACTAAAAGTCGATTTAGTCGATAAGAGTTAAGAGAGCTCATGATGTTTGTGGCGCTGAAACCGTCTTGGTCCTGATTGTGTTAGAAAACATCTAGATTTTGTTTAACTAAATCAAAATAAACAAAATACAAATGGTTTTTTGTTTTTGCTTTTAAGGAGCAAAAGGCATTTTTAGTTTATTTCGTTTCGTGGTTGATTTGCGTTGCCTTCAATTCACTAAATAGTTAAACAAAATATTTAATAGTTTACAAAAAATAAATTTGTTTTTAGTAGCAAGTGAAATTCTCATCATTTTTAGAATTAATATTAACAATAGCTAAGTAAACAAATAAAATGATATTCTGCTTTTCTCTCTCTCTCTCTCTCTCTCACACGTACTAGTTTCATCATTTTGAGCTTAAACTTAAATTTAAAGCATTTCGTTGAAACAAAATTGATAAAAGTAGTTCGTAATATTTAAAAAAAAATGACAAACATAATTTCCGTTTAGGCGGCGCATAACATATTTCAAAGGCAGAGAAGCAAAACATATTTGAGGAATTGGCAACTATTTATCGCTTTTATCTTTTGTGTTTTTTGTTTTGTTTTGTTTTGTATAAATATAAAAATTGTTCAGCTTGCAGCTTTGTAGTTTGTTTAAAAAATTCACGACTCTCGCACTATATAATGATGCTTAAATGTTACAACTAATAAATCGACGTCTGCTGCTTGAGTTATCGAGTTTTTTTTTTCAGCCACAACAAAGCCAATTTTAAACGTAATCATAACCCGGACAATATCTCGAATATGTACGTACGTGTTGTGTGTGTGTGTGTGTGTATGTGTGTGTGTGTATGTGTGTATGTATGTATGTACATATATATAAATAGTACATGCTCATGCTTTAGTTATACATAATATAGTTTATATTTATATATATATAATGCATTTCTGTTGCTCTCTTGCTTGAAATCTGTGTCTCTGCCAAACTGTTTCTCCTTTTTTTTCTCTTTTTAGATACTTGCTATAAATCTTCTTTCTAAACATTATCAAACGCTATTGCAGTTGGTGTATGCATATACATAATAATTGTGGAGAAAGTAAAATCTTAATTGTGTGTGAGTGAGTGTGAGTGTGTGTTTGTGTGTCTGTCTGTCAATTGTGTGTGTGTAGAAAGCGTGGCGTTGGCGTTGGCATTGGCAATTTCTCATAATTATCGTCTCGTCTGGCATACTTTGAAGGGGTGCTTGGTTTGCTATAAAGCCGCAGTGTAAAGGCGGGCGCTCGAATTCAGCTTGGCTCAATTTATTCGATCACCTTGAGTACCTTGCCGATGGCAATGGTTTTATCTGCGAGAAAAAGGGAATATATATATATATAAATTATGTTTTATTTGACTTATTAACTAGTCCCACTCACTTTCATCTCGCAGCGTGAAGCGTCCCATTTGTGGGAATAGCTTGAACTGTTCAAGGCAAATCATTCCGTAGCATTCGATGCGCATTATTGCGACCTGATCCTGTTTAACGAATCTTGGACGTGTTTTTGATTTCTCACCACTCTTCTTGTCGACCAAACAGATGAGTGCCTGTCGCCACAAAAGAAAACAAGTTATATGTGAAGTGAATTATTTATTTGATCGGCACTCACCTTCACCGTGACCTCCTCGGCGGCGCAGTGTATGTGCATGACAGCCGAATAGCCCGCACAGATAATTGATTTGTGTTCTAATATAACGACCTGAGCATCAAAAATTTTGCCCGTTTTAATTGGATTGGCGGCATCACAGAGCACAAAACCGGGCGACACGTCCTCCTCCTCGATGCCCTGGGTTAAAAATAAATAATTGATTAGACGATCTGAATATTTGCAGCAAGGCTGCAAACCGAACCGAATGGCTCTCTATGTTTGCAGCCGTAACTCTTGATACGCACTTTCAGTTTAATCTTGACGTTCTCGCCGGGACCCACAGAGGTAACCTCGTAGTCGTCTGAGAACAGTTGATCCACGGCCACTTGCGTCTGCAAATGGATTCAATTAGCACGGAGGATTTCATCTTTAATCAATTTGCTGCACTTACCCGATTTGGCATCACGAGCAGATTTTGACCTTTGCGCGCGCTACCGGACTCCACTTTGCCCATGACAACGGTGCCCATATCCTTATATTTGTCCACAATGGGCATGATGAAAGGTCCATCCTGATTGCGATTCAGTGAGGGCAGCTCATCGATGAAGGGTATAAAGGCGGGCCCTCGGTACCAGGGGCACAGGGACTCTGGTACTTGATCCTTAAGGCCATAGCCGCTGAGGCCCGAGCAAGGCATAAAGGTTAGATCCTTGGCTGGATTGAAGCCCAGCTTCTTGAGGTATGGTAGTATCTTGTCTTTGCATTCGTTGTAACGTCCCTGATCCCAATTCACAGTCGGATCGTCCATTTTATTGACCAGCACGACCAGATGCTTAACGCCCGCCGTCTTGGCCAGCATGGCGTGCTCTCGCGTCTGCCCGCCACGATCGAAGCCCGTCTCGAATTCACCCTTTCGCGCCGATATGACGAGCACTGCGAGATCCGCCTGCGCCGCGCCGCCAATCATGTTGGGCACAAAACTCTTGTGTCCCGGCGCGTCCAGTATGGTGAAATGCTTGCGATCCGTTTCAAAAAAGGCGCGTCCCACCTCCACAGTCTTGCCCTTGTCGCGCTCCTCCTGGTTTGTGTCCAGCGCCCACGATAGATACCAGCTCTCGCGCGATTTCTCGCGCGCCTCGCGCTCATATTTCTCCAGTGTGCGCTTGTCCACCATGCCCGTCAGCGACATGATCTGACCGCCAATTGTTGATTTACCAGCATCTGCAGCGGGGATAGAGGAGGCGGGTTAAGCTATGCAATTGGCGCTTTCATCATTTGAATGCATACCAACATGTCCGATGAACACCACGTTGACGTGCTCGCGCTTGCTTCTGTTCTCCTCCACCTTGACAATCTTTTTCTTGGAGATCTTCGGCGTGGCTTCGTCCTCCACAAAATCGTCCTCGGCTTCCTCATCCTCGGGCGTTATGATGGCATCGTCCTCCACGTCCCAGCTATCAGCAGGATCGGTTTCTGCAAATAATAGTTTTCATATAACAGATAATTGTCAACAGGTGGGAAATGTTGGTGCAACGTGCAAGCTTTTTGTTTTGCAAAATAATTTACACTCGCCCAACGTACGCATATTTATATATTTAGAAAAGCGTGAATAAACTGGATATAACTGCTTTTAAATCTTTTTCACACTCAAAACTGAAACTAATTCGGATTAAGCAAATTATATAGTAGCCACGGAACAAATCGAATTATTATTTATTTTTCTTTTTTCATTGAGAAATGCGCTTTTCTTATCTACTTCAGCGATTGTGCTCATTCGCTTGTCTTATCAAAAATGTCAGCCCTGGTTAAATGTTATCTTTGTATTGCGCTTCGTTTTTGTTCTGAAATTGACATGACATTAGGGAGGGCGGGGGGGGAGAAGAGGGGGCTTCATCCACGTGCCAGCATGAGTCATTGGCTGCTGCAGGTGTTTGTCCTGCGTGCAAAACGTGCGCTAGAGATGGACGCGTGTTGTATCTATTAATACTAATACACAAAGCACGATTCCACATGAACTACTTTTAGCTATGATTATTATTTTATCATTTTTTTTCATTTTATGCAGCCTCTTAATATTCGTTGCCAGATTGTATTTTTTTTTTATATCATATATTTCTCAACACAACACGAACACGCACGAAATTGGTTTTATGCAATACGAACATTTCGTGTTTTGTCTTCGTGTCACGACGAAAAATTTGCCACGCGCCAAAATCTTAGCCAGAGCACATTTGCCTCCAGGGCCAGTAAGTAAAGGTAAGGCGCAGCGGCAGCGGGGACAAGCACAGAGTATTTATTTTCTCTTCGAGCACACTCAACAGATTCAGTTGAAACTGGTCAAATCTGGTCGCCACAGGTTATGGCCTGGCCTGGCCTGGCCAAGAGGGCAATGCGCGCGCAGCTACTTTACCGTTACTAACTTTTCTTCGGGTGCATTTTGTTTGTGTAAATAACGCTAGGGTCGCCCACGTCGCCTTCTAACATGTGAATTGGACTAAAAACGAAAACCAAACGTATGAAATTCAATAAATGAACGTGTGCGCGTTGCGACTGCGACCGCTCGGCACGAAAAAGTAAAAGTAGATAACAGCAGGGCACAAAAACAAACGAATTACTGTACTAAGACAACCTTCGTTGGTAACAACCCTGCTTAGCAGGTTGTTGGTATTTATCGATACTTCGTTGCTGTATTTATCGATACTTTGATTAACCTAAGCTTGTAATTTTCGGAGACGAAGCATTAAACTTATTAAAAAATATAATAAAAATAATATTTACAAATAATTGCTCGCTAAGGTGCCAACTAAAATTTAAATTCAAGTTGAAAGCGGTTCAAACCGCATGGGATTTGCATAAAGTACACACACACACACCAACAGCAACTGCCATTTGGGCCAACACCACATATCGCGCGCAACTGCTTATGACGTTAATAATAATAATAACAACAACAACAACAGGCTTGTTTGTGCGTGGCAACGACACAAAAGCCCCAACCAGGGCTGCGTCGTGTGGAGCCATGTGACTAGAGAGCGGCATTCGCTAGCGAGTGTCTTAAAATAAAATAAAAAAAAACAACAAGAACCGCTTTGAGTCATTCAACGGGCGAGCGAATAGCCATGCGATAGAAGCAGGCGGCAATAAAGGCGAGTGAAAAACGTAAACGTGTCAAAACACGGAGAATGCAGCAGAGATGCGCAACAAGGCGCTAACAGTGAAATATTTAACAGCTAGTTTTCATTGTGAAAAAGAAAGGCCCAATCAAGCGCTAACGTGATTTAAAAATATTAATATTATTATATAAATTTTAATAAAACTAAATTTAAAGTGAAATAAATATTTTACAGCACTTTCACAGTAATTTTAAGAGCATTTGAAAATCACTGTGAAATGGCACGCAAATATTGCGCATCGCTGAGACGAATGCACGATAAATGGCCGCTCACAATATGAACAGCTGCTGCATCTAGTGTCTGTGTATGTGTGTGTGTTAGTAGCACTAAGATGCAATTCTTTGCCATGCAATTAAAAAGAGCACAACAGACACGAATTGTCACCAGCCCGTACGCCCACACAGACACACACACACACACATATATATAAAGGCGCTGGTTACCGCAACTACATTTTAGGTTATGTTATGCGATAGACCGATAACCTAAGCATTTTTGCGTTAATTTTGATTTTGATTTTTTTTTTTGCCAGCTTATCAACAATAACAGTTAGCTAGCCGGTTGTCTTTGCTTGGTTCTAATGTGCACGTAGCGACTCGTGACGTCACAATGCAAGAGTTCAATGTGCCCAACATTTGCTAAACTACCCCCAGGGCGCCCACACGCACACACACACACACACACACACAGGCAAACACTAAACATGTATATATAGAATCTCCCTTTATATTTACCATTGTTTGCTGTTATTTTGTCCGCCGCATTTAGCTGTTCAATTGGTGCCGCTGTCGCTGGTGAAGGTGTGGTAACGGGCGAGCCTGGCGCTGGCGATGCCGAATTTGAGGCTGCCGCCGATGACGGCGCTGCCGTTGTTCCTGTTTCCGTTACCGTTCCGCCGCCGGCATTTAGCGCATTTGTGGAACCGGCACTGCCCGTGGAATCGGGCGTTGTTGCAGGTGTGGCACTACCAGATGCCGGCACGGAACCAGCTCCAGGCTCAACAGCATTATCCACTGGCGTTGCCGGCTCCTGTTGTTCTGTAGACGGCGGCGCTTGCGCTGCGGCTGCTGCAACAGCCGCTGCGCTGGCAGCGCTGCTGTAATTAAAGCTGGGCACAAATTCCACTGCATTCACATTGAGAGTTGAGAATTTTGTTGAAACTTCCGTATTTTCCTGAGCGGCCATTACTGCTACTGCGCGTTGTAATGGTGTATCGTACAAATTACTTTCGAGTTACTTTTCAGTGGAAATTTTCACTATTCGCCCCTGCTCCTCTGCTCGGCACACACACACACACGCACACACTGCGACGTCGACGACGACACACTTTCGCCTTGCTTCTTTTGCTGCACTCACACAAACACGCGTTTGACTTTCGTCGTTATTGTTGCCACTGAGCAGTAGTAGGATTAAGGAGGGGGTGGAGTTGATGAGAAGACAACCCAGCCTTTCGATTTGTGATTAATTTGTTATTGTTTCAACGTCGTAGCCAACTTGTACGTCGCTGCTTTTGCTTTTCTCCCTGCACTTTACTGTCTGGCAGCACAACACGAAATTCTATATGTGTGTGTCTGTGTGTGAGTGAGTGTTGTGTGAACAATCTTCTTCACGCGCTGCGACACCTTTTCCAGTCCTGTTCAACGGCTGTGCCCACACATATACAGCTGACAATTGAGCTCCTGACAAAAAACAATTTGTTTTTGCGGTTAATTTGGCGAATTTGTTGCAAAATTTGTAACAAAAATTTTACACGTTTCACCGCCACGCGTTGCAAAGCCAGGGATGGAAAATATCGATAGCCGTTCAATATCGTTTGAAGCAATGCAATATATTGTATATAATATATATAATGAATAATGATAAAGCTTGTTATTTTAGTTTTTAATTAAAAAACGTGGTAAGCAAAAACCGGTTAAAACTTAAAAAATAAATTTTTTTTGGAATCCGCTAATCGTATATATGAAACGATAAGCTCTTGATAACTGAGAGAGCTGCCAATCTGCTTAGAAAAACAACAAAATATCGACTAACTAATTACTATCGATATTGTTGAAAAATATCGAAAAGATTCATATGTCACCTACCGATAGGGCAGTAATCATTCAGTAAAAAGAGCTGAGCAAAGCAGGCACAGCTGGACAAAAGGCAGCAGCGAAAAGGGCAGTAAATTTTCCAAAAAAAAAGTATTTGAATTTACAAAACAATTAGCGAAATAATGAGCACAGGTGGCACCGGAGGCGGTGCTGGGGGCGGTGCACGTCCACCACCCCGAATCGATGGCATGGTCTCGCTAAAGGCAAGTATACACCCAAAAGAAATAGAAAGTACAGCAACGCAGCCAGACAAAATGGCGGCCGGCAATTGATTTACTGTCTTGGGGTTAGATAACCTTTTTCCTCCCACGCTAATATGCTAATATTCATGTATTCCGCTTAATCAAACTGGTTACAGGTCGACAATCTCACATATCGCACCACGCCCGAGGATTTGCGTCGCGTCTTCGAGCGCTGCGGCGAAGTTGGGGACATTTACATACCACGCGATCGTTACACACGTGAAAGTCGCGGATTTGCTTTCGTGCGGTGAGTAAATTCAATAGCCTATTCAATTCGTAATTAAACAAGTGTATTCACTGAAAGTCCGCGTTTTTCTCTTCGACAAACCAGTCTGGTTGACTTTCTTTGAGGTTAGGCACGAACATGCATACTTTGTGGATGCGACCACCCTAATTTTTGGTGGTCGCGCTCCCGAACTATGGAATGCCAGATAAAATGTGTTCAATTGCAACTGTTGCCTACCCTAAACCATGCTAGCCAACATACTGCGAATACAACAACAACTATTTATAGAGAACTTTTAGGTATAATCGGGAATTCCTTGCATTTAAAATTCATCATGTTTGGCACTTATTTTTAAACATGATTATAAGCAAAATGCTAGATTAAATGTGTTCAATTGCAACTGTTGCCTACCCTTAACCATGCTAGCCGACATACTGCGAATACTACACAAATTCTGATAATATATTACCTCCATGTAAACCTGTTTATTATATATACCTGGAGGTTCCTTGCATTTATGCACTAACTGCGCCTGATCAAATCTTCCTGTTGATCATGCTCGATGCAAAGATGCCAGATTGAATGTGTTCAATTGCAACTGTTGCCTACCCAAAACTTTGCTAGCCAACATACTGCGAATACTACAAGTGTTATTGAGATGTCCTCTATCTATAATATATCTATGTACGATATCTATCTATCCCCATGTCATCTATAACAAGATAGAGAAGATCTAAAGTACACTAGCGGGCTGATGAGACGGGTTTCTACTGTGGCTATATGATAAAGTATTCCAATGTTGAGAAGATTTCGCTCATATGATAGTTAATGTTTGCTGTAAGACCAAAGATTTGGATGGAATTTCGTTTATAGCATCGTTAAACTTCCAGCTGTCAAGTTTGGTCAAGGAACCGACAGATCCTATACCTGCTGGATGATATTGATAGAGGATCTGAGCATAACGGAATAGACTTATGACAAGTTTTAGAATAGATAGATGTACAACAGAGATAATTCACAGAGTTATAGATAGAGTATCTACTCGACTGTTGAGACAGATCCTTTCCTCAGGGTCCAAAAATGTAAATAAAATATAATTTAATTTCCAAGGGTATAAATGAATGAAGGAAATATAATCAACACAGAGTTAGATACTCGACTGTTGAGACAGACTTTAGATTTTATGATGTACATCCTCAGGATCGAATATGCCATTTATGATATAGTATAATTTTATTTAATGCAATGTCTAAGGGAATAAATAGGCGAAGGTACAGGGTATTTATGAACATTTCAACCTTAACAACCAGCAGACTTGTCTATATAGTTCTGCAAACAGTTTTTTCTAAAGCTAGAAGGATGACCTGGCAGCTTTCTGCTAAAAACAAGCTTTCTCTTACAAACAAAGTGAAAGATATATAAGACAATACTGACTCCTCCTATATGGATCTATGTGCTGCAAATGTACGGGATTGCCGCAAAATTCCAACTCGCACAAACTAAGATTCTTAGATTCTTATATGTAATGCTCCTAGGTATAGGTATAGGTAGAGGCATAGGGACATCGAGAGAGACCCAAGAGTTCCCAAAGTAGGAAACGTAATCGTTAACCTGCCATACTTTGAGCGCTTCTCTTGGGAGAACAAGAATAAGGTGCCCCATTTCTGGAGTTTGTCTCCCTGGGGCCAGAAAGAGAAGACTTAAACGGGATACCAGACAGGATTCCCTAAGACAAAACTCATTGATATAATCAGCAGAATTAAAAATGTTTCGCTTTTAGCCTTGACCATGTACACCTTAGACTAATTAGCTGTAAGTCTACTTCAATTTGTTTCCCCTCACATATAACTAGCTTAAGCTGCAAATATTAGTTAATAAAATTACATACATTTATATTTATATATTATGTATTTCTCAGCATAAACTAACCTTCTTTTGCTTTTCTCTCCTTAGTTTCTATGACAAGCGCGATGCCGAGGACGCACTGGAGGCCATGGATGGTCGCATGCTGGACGGCAGGGAGCTGCGTGTGCAGATGGCGCGCTACGGCCGTCCCTCGTCGCCGACGCGCCGCAACAGCAGCAGCAGTCGCCGGGGCGCCGGCCTCGGCGCTGGCGCCGGCGGCGGTGCCGGAGGGGGGGGACGTCGACGCTCGCGCTCCCGCTCGCCGATGCGTCGCCGTTCGCGCAGTCCGCGCCGTCGCTCCTATTCGCCGCGCTCGCGTTCCCGCTCCGCGGGCAGCCGTTCGCCCGGCGGCCGGCGCGGCAAATTCTCGCGCAGTCCGCCCGTGCGCGGCGACAGTCGCAACGGCGTCGCCAGCGCCGCCTTGGCCGGCGCATCACGCAGTCGCAGTCGTTCCTAAAGACGCCGGCTCGCTTCAGACGTTCCATACTCGTAGGTGCGATAAGGTGAGCACCGAGTGGAATAATTACCTTTAAATCTTAATTTAATGTGTGACCTTTTATCTGATCTCAGCCTTGATTGACTCGTTGACAAGGGTTTCCGGGCAAGTGCTCAACCGGGCAACTGAAACAACTTCTCATGCTGTGTACCAGAACAGCAGGTATACAAAAACAAAAACAAAAACAAAAAAAACCGTTTTACACCTACTTCTACACACACATATATACACAGAATATTTATAGTACACTATTTTAAGTTGAAGAAGAAAACAAACAACAACAACAACAACGAGAACAAAAAACAAAAACAAACCGAGCATAGTTCAGTTTTTTGAGGTCAAGTTTTAATCTTGTTTCTGTTTGTTTTGTTGCATTCGTTTCTTCATTTGAATTGTCGTCTGCTCAAGAGGATGATCACAGCAGGATGATAGTAGGGTATCTAGGAGTCTATGTAGCATTTAATTTTGGGCGCCATTTTTATCAATTTGTGTAGCACACACTTCAAAATAAAACTCAAAATTAAATTACATCAATATCGATAACAATCAATGTTGTTGCGAGGAGGACCAACAAAAACAACTAGTTGATATTTAACCGTTAACTTTTGCAATTACCTTTTGTGTTGCTCGTTTCTGTTTCGTTTCGTTTCTAACTGTTTCAATCACGATATAAACTTTATTAACAAGCTTTCCAACCATTTTACATATTTATATATACGCAGGCAAGTGTGCGCGGCGTTTGTTGCAGTCGTTGCTGCCGTGTGGCTGTTAATGTAAATGTTATGTTATGGCCGGCGAGTCGTGCGTGGGCAAGGCAGAGTCGGTGAGCGAGAGAGAGAGAAAGAGAGAGAAAGAGAGCGCGGAAGCAAAGCAGCGTGTGAGCTTTCTTTATTTTTACTTCTTTACAAACTCACTGAGAGAGCGGCGCCAAAGCAGGCACAACGAGAGCGGAGAGCTGAACGTCGCGTCGCTGATGCTGCTGTTGCTGCTACTGTTGCTGTTAACTGCAAAACTTCGCTGCGCTGCTGATGCTGCTGCTGCTGCTGCTACTTCGATCTTCCCCACACACACGCGCGCCCACACGCGCACACACACATTGTTGCTGCTGTTGAAGCTGTAGTTCGTGGCTCGACGTCTGCGTCTGCCGAAATGCTGCTGTTGCTGCTCTGCTGCAGATGCTGGCGTCCTTGTCTGCCTCAACTGTTTCGCTGTTTAGTTTGCCGTTGGCGTTTCGCTGCTTCACTTCTTGTTCGGTTCGCACTTGTTGCTGTTGCCTGCCGGCGTTGTTGGTGTTTCCTGCTGTTTCCTGTCTAGCGATTGGGGCCTACTTTTGACTTTAGCGAAATTTGTAGCTGATACGCGGACCGCGCGAATGACCCCCGCCACCCCGGAACAGCCCCATGCAACGGTGTGCGGAGACTTGTGAACGTCCAGTTGGAATGCAACAGGTAAGTTTTGCATTAACATGTGCAGCTAACATTTGCATTCTATTACAGCCAAATGCCAATTAAATGATATATAAGATGAATTATGCAAATTAAATAAAACTTTTCAATTTTATATACATAAATTGTGTTTGTAATTGCTAGAGAAAATGGGAGAGATATGGAAGAGATGGGTGTGTAGACTTTTGTAGACTCTCCAAAGATGTGGCTTTAAGAATACAATAGTGTCGACTTTTTTAAGTTGTCTTGTTCTGTTTGCTTAATAAATGAATATTTAAATGTATGAATAATTTTTTAATATGTTAAGTTCTTTAGCCCATCTAAACAAATTAGTTCAATTTTTCCCAAATGCTCAATTCTAATTCAACGCGAAAATGCCAATAAGACTCCAATGGGAAACGTGACGTTTATATCACAGCTCTCTTTGTAGAGTTTTACTGTTTCGTTGTCTGGAAGGGGGGCTGTGTAGAAATGAACTTTGTTTATTGACAAAACGTTTCCAGCACAACGAAACGAATTTCAAAGTTTGAAAATTTTCTATTTATTTATTGAAATAAATTCGTTAAAAGCCGAGTTTTTTTTTGGCGAATCGCAAAAACCAAATAGCAAAAAAAAAAAATACCTCAATATGTATATGGACAAGATGGTGAAGAACGACTCCTTCGAGCCGGATCTGCGCAAGGAGGGCACCTACATCTGCCCCATGCCGCAGCCGCCGCCGGCGCCCAGGGGGGCGGAGAACTGGCATGGGCATTTGCCGCCGCACGAGCGTCTCTTCTACCACCAGACGATGAGCTCGGTGCGCTACAGCAAACGCTTTCGCGGCAATGTGAACATACCCAAGGATTCGCTGGACTTTCAGCTGCAGGCGCGCTACGATCACGGCCGTGAAACGTTTCCCGAAAAGATCGATGCCGTCCTGCAGCGCGACACGTGCCCGGCGTTGACCAGCTGGGCGGCACCCCATGGCCAGAAAGAGGTGGGCGCCATTTCCCGGTTGAATCTCTTCCGTGTGCTGCGCAATACGCGCGTAGCGCGCCTCAAAATGGAGGATGCACTGGGTCATCCATTGAATATAGGTGAGTTCCGAGTTGCCAACTGCGGGTTCAAAAAGCAGTTGCCAACTATAGCTGTAAAAAATAGCTGTATAAAAAATGCTAAAACTAGCTTAATCAGCTCTGAGCAGCGTTGCCAACTATCGCCTTGGACAAGTAGCAAAATTAGCTCTCTAAGAAGTGTTGCCAACTGCTGGTTCAAAAAATGAAGGAGCTGAAACAGCTTTCTGTGTTGCCAACTTTAGCTTTGAAAAAGTAGCTGTAGCCAATGCATAAAATATTTGAATCAGAGAGTTGCCAACTGTTGGTTCACAAAAGTAGCTGACTCTAATGCTAAAACTAGCTAAATCAGCTCTGAGCAGTGTTGCCAACTATCGTCTTAATAACTAGCTAAATCGGCTCTGAGCAGCGTTGCCAACTGTCGCCTTAAACAGGAAGCTGAATTAGCTCTGTAAGGCGCGTTGCCAACTGCTGCTTCAACAAAAAGTAGCTAAATCAGCTCTGAGCAGCGTTGCCAACTGTCGCCTTGAACAGATAGCTGAATTAGCTCTCTAAGGCGCGTTGCCAACTGCTGCTTCATAAAGCGCAGCAGATGTGACTAGCCAAATTCGGCTAAGAAAATAGCTGAATTGGCAACACTAAATGAATGAGCTTGAAAACAGGGTGGTTAACTTTTCGATTCCTTTTAAATGTTCGCTCTATTTTTTCGCAGGTGGCATCAAGGAGAAGATACATCCGTCGAGCGTCAAGCTGATCTGCAGCGGTGTCCACACGCAGCTGGTGAACAACGGCTTCTCCCGCCAGACATCCGATGGCAACTTCTTCCGCTATTAACGAGACACGCCCCCTTTTTCAATTTCCTCGCAAGTTAAAAAGTTTTGTGGTTTGATTTACAGAATTATTGGAAAAACGCAATAAAAATTGACAGAGCAACAGGACGAAAGCGGATCACGCAATCGGCGACAGCTTGGGCTGCTTGGCCGGCAGCTGCTCCTCAATTCGGTTAAGCTCCTCCGGCTGCTCCGTCTCCTCCTCCTGCGTCGTCTGCTGTGCCGCTTTCTGACGTTGCTTTTTGTTCTGGTTACGGTAACTCTTGGGCAGTTTGTTGTCGCCAATCCTGGAAGGGATCACAGTGGGGATTCAATAGATATGTATAGGAACAGCTGGTGGTGGAGCACTTACATGATGGTGGCTCGCGTGCCGGGTCCCCAGTGCGGCGCGGGGTTTTCCTGGAAGCGTGAGAGAGCCTGCTTGCGACTGCTGGGATTGGCCGCCGGATGCAGCTGATCGAACACGTACTCCTGGCGGCAGGGCTGCGAGAGTATTGCCTGAAGGGCTGTGCCCGGTATGAGGCGATTCTCGCGTACCGGATGCCGCTTGCTCCAGCAGCGCAGGATGTCCCACAGCACTGCGGCGGGTGCGTCCGTTTTCAGGGAATTCTTGCTGGCATGCGAGTAGGAGACACGATAGCCGGCATGGAGCAGCGCGGAGCGCATCTTCAACATGGGCACAATCTCCAGCTTGAGCACGCAGCAGAGCTTGTCGGGCGTATAGTAGAGCGGCACATCCGGCAGCTCCTCCAGCACCATGGAGAGCACGCCCGTCAAACGACGCTGCGTGCTCAGCTGCAGCTGGGACTTCGCCTCCAGCAGATCCCGCACAAACTCCAAGTTGTGTATGGGCGCCGACCAGATGGGTCCGCCCAGATGATGCCGATGGCTGCAGTGCTGGCACTGAGTATTCACGGCCGGGCCCGTGGGTATGCCGAACTTGACCAGCTGCGGCTGATCCGCGGACTTGCTGCGCACCGTGCCCAGGGGCTGCAGGGTGTACGTCTCGCAGCCGGTGCACTGATAGATCCAGGACTGTTTGCTCATGCTGTACTTGCACTGGGCCTGGCCGGAGTGGACGCGCACAAAGATGCGCACATAGAAGTCCGCCGAGATGCTGAGCAGCGGCTCGATATATTTGCCATGCCGATTCGCATGCGTTTCGATGCAGTGCAGCAGGATGCGCAGCGCCATTTCGTGGCAGCATTTCATGCGCAACGGCACCGAGCCGTATTTGACGTAGCACGCCTCGGGCGCATTGCCCGCCAGCACGGCCATGTCGGTGGCGGTGACCAGGAGCAGGCCGCCGTCCACGATGCACTGCAGCGCTCCGTCCAGGAAGCGGTTCGGACAGCCGTAGGGATCCAGGTCGACGGCATCGAAGCGCTGCTGCGGCGCCGTCGACAGATACATGAGTGTCCTGCCAGAAATGATGGATGCTTTAGTGCAAGAATTAGGATTTCAATTGCGAGCTTACATGGCATCTGCATGACTTGTCTCGATGAGGTGCTCCACGGCGTTGTGCCGCACATTTGTCTTGATGGACTCGACCGCCTGCTTGGACAAATCGTTGGCTACGATCTGCCGCACGCCCGCGATCTCCTGGGCGTAGCGTATGCTCCGGAGTCCTGTGGCCGCGAGCGCCTCCAGAATTCGGAGGCCGTCTGCATATTGTGTGCCCGCCGTGTAGCTGGGCGTTGGCGGCGTCTCCTCCTGGGCAGTCTCCTCTGCTTGCTGTTGCTTATGTTTGCGCTGCAGCTGCTTGAGCGCCTTTTCGGCGCGCTCCTGGACCAAACGCTGAAAGTAAACGTTGAGCACAGCTATGCTCAGGTCGCGATTGAACTCCTGCACGGGATTGTAGAAGACTTGGCCGCCGGATATGATATTCGCATTGCGCTCCGTAATAATGTTTGCATTGGGATTTGTCGGCACCGGCGACGTGTCCTGCAGCACGTCCTCAACTTCCTCCTCCACCTCCATTTCGCGTTGTCAACAACACGTTTTTACAACTGCGATGTGTTTTAGTCGATAACTTGTGGCGGCTAATCGATAACGCCAACAACGACATGCCAAGTAGTTGGCAACGCGACGCGCAGCTGTTTGTAACAGCCTTGCAAGTTAGCTAATTGCACGTCAGCTTTGGCTTTCTATTTCCAGTTTAGCCAGGTGATAAATTTATTGAAAAAGTAGTTTAAGTTAGTGCATCAACAAATATTATATATGGTGCAGTCAGTTTCGTTTTGGCCACTTTTCGCAGTCGCGTCGTCAGCCCTGCTATATCGATAGTTGGCAACACTGGCGTGTAGCTGTCGTAACAGGCCGCTTGCATTTAGTTTTATTTAGTTTTTAAAATATGAATAAAATAACGCGTGCTTTTATTAGCGTACTGCAGCACGGCAATAAATCTTACAGCAATGCCGCGCTCCTCGGTCGCCAGCTATCATACAAAAGCGATTTATCGCTAGACAAGATCTATCCAAATGCACGCCTGCAGCTCTTCACGCCGCCGCCGCCGCCGGTAAGTAACGGGAAATATTGCAAAGCTGGGCTAATTTAATGTGCTTACAGCCAAGCGGCGCGGACAAGTTCAATGGCTATATACCCTTGGATAAGCTAGAGATCACCTACAGTCGCAGCTCCGGCCCGGGCGGCCAGCACGTGAATACGGTCAACACAAAGGTGGATGTGCGCTTCAAGCTGGCCGAGGCGCAGTGGATACCGGAGAAGACGCGCCAAAAGCTGCTTCAGGTGCTGGCCAATAAGCTGAACAAGGAGGGCTACTACTTCATCAAGAGCGACCTGACGCGCTCCCAGCAGCTGAACCTGGCCGATGCGCTGGAGAAGCTGCGCATGGTAATACGCGCCCAGGAGCTGGAACCGAGCGGACCCAGCGAGGAGACGCTGGAGAAGCTGCGCCGTCGCCAGGAAAAGGCGGCCCGGCATCGCCTGCAACTGAAACGCGAACGCGCCCAGATCAAGGCCGATCGCCAGGCGCCAGGCGGCATAGATTTCTAAATATTTTAATTTGCTAAAGTTTTTGTTACATAAACATTGTTCGGTACACATGCACTTAAACTACTTCTGGAGCAACTCCTCGGCGGCCGGCGTCACCGTAAATCGTGGCACGGGCATCGCAATGACAGCGTCCGGCAAATGCATCTCATGTCGATTCCCATGCGACGGCATGCTGGCAAAACGCGGGCGCTGCAAAGAGAGGGAAAAGCAGGAGCAGAAAGTTAATTAGAGGATTTAGAGGAAGAGCACGTTGAGCAGCTCTGCGCCCGTCCAGCATTGGATGGAGCTATCGAAGGTACAAATATCTTCAAAGACCCTACTCAAGTACGTTCAGTCAACGAACCCTTTTGATGCTAGGACCGCAACTTAGCCAGAAAAGGTTTTAAATGTAGCCCAATCCCTCCACGTCTCGCCCAGGCGAGCCCTGACTTGAAAAAACTCTTGACTTTTGTATTAAGCTTAAAGCTAGTCGAAGGAGAAGCATAAAAAAGATCCCTGCCATAATGTTCACCCATTTTCATACCGGATGGATTATTATATGTTGAGCACTTCTGCTCCTGTCCTGCTCTAGGAGTAATCGAAAATACAGACAGACATTACACTGCGATCCCTTTTGATGCTGATACCTCAACTTGGCTGAATTTTCAATAAATAGATCCACATTTCACAAAGGCCCAAAGGTCTCAATTAAAAGCTAGTCGGAGAGGAAGCACATAAAATATCCCTAAAACAATCTATGCCCATTTTCATACCGGATGGATTGTTTAATATCGGAATCTTTCTACAGTTTTGATGGTGAGTTGATCATCAATCTGTAAATCTAGGCTAAAATTGTCCTCCTCCTAAGGTGAATTCACATGCCAAGAGTTGACTCGAGTCTGCCCGACACTCCGGGTAGATTGTCAATTGGAGTCGGTTGCTTACCGGCGCTTGGGCATCGAAAATGCGCAGCGTATTGTGTCGCTCGATGCTGGCGGGTGGCCGCCTCTCGGGCGGCTTAGTCAGTGTCTGCGTGTAGAGCTGCTCGAGCCGTTGGATGGCAAAGGCGGGCGGCAGCTGTGTCGAGAAACTGTGTCGCATGCTCCTCGGCGACCAGGTGTGCTGGTAGGCTGTCTCGTCCAGGTGACGCAGCAGATCCCCGTTGATGACCTGTTTGTCCTCCTTGGTCAGGTTGGCCAGCAGCTCGTCAATGAGGGCGGCATCGCCGCGGGACACCTTGATGTCGTGCATCCAGAACTGGCGATTGCTGCGCCCGATTACGGGCGCAATCTGCTTGACCTTAAGCACCAGGATGCCCATCAGATAGACGCACAGGACATTGGAGAGCGTCAGGCACATGCTGATGCTGCCCAGCACGGCCAGCTCGGTGCCCTGATGCTGCGAGTACTTGCGCGACTTGACCACGTTCACGTACAGCGAATCGTCGCTCTCGTACAGCTTGTAGATGCAGGCGAGGGCCCACAGTAGGCCCGAGTTCACCGCCGGCGGCAGCAGGGATGCAGATATGGCCACGCCCACAAGCGAACCAATATTACCGCCCAAAATGCCAATGGCAGCCGCCGCGCCGGACGGTATAGCCGTAAACAGACCGACGATCAGCGAGTGCAGATCGCAGCGTGACAGCATCTCCTCGGTGAGGCCCTCGCCAATGCCGTACTTCTTGTCCGTGGTGCACACCACCAGGCCGAACAGAAATCCCACCAGCGTGGCCAACAGTATGCCAATCAGCTCATTCCGCATGCCCAGCCGGCGAAGCGAACGCTCCTCGATCACGGTGCCAAAGATGGCGGCTATGATCGGTCCCATCAGCGGCGAGATCAGCATGCTGGAGGCCAGGAAGATGGTGCTGTTCTCTATCAGCCCAAAGGAGGCCAAGATGCTGGAAAGGAAAGGGAATAAGGATTGAATGTGATATGGTATTTGAAGTACTTAGAATGAAGGGCATCGAGATATCCTATCAAAATCGGAGGACTATATAAATGGACTCAACATATCTTAATCGAACTATATACAATAGAAATTCTTGGAATATCGGACCACTATGTCTTATAGATACCATGGGAAGGATCGGTCAATAAATGGACTTTTCAAGATATCTTCAGCGAACTTTATACAAGAGAAATTCTGGGAATATCGGACTACTATATAATTATATACCTTGCAAAGGATCGGTCGATAAATGGACTTTTCAAATGCATATGATATGATATTGAAGTACTCAGAACGCAGGGAATATAAAAATGGATATCTTCACCCAACTATATACTAGAGAAATTGTTGGAATATCGGATTAATATATCATATAACTGCCGATCGATAAATGGATCGATAAATGGACTCTTCAAGATATCTTCACCGAATTATTCAGTATAGATATTGTTGGCATATCGGACTACTATATCATATAGATGTCATGGGAAGGATCGGTCAATAAATGGAATTTTCAAGATCTCTTTACTTCACATACTAGAAAAATTGTTGGCATATCGGATTACTATATCTTATACATGCCATAGGAAGGATCGGTCAATATGGTCAATATAATGGACTTTATAAATGCATATAATATGATATTGGAGTACATAAAATGCAAGGAACCTAGAAATTCTATCAAAATCGGAGGACTATATAAGACTATAGGATTATTTAAGAGTTTTCAAGATATATCTAATAGAGAAATCGTCGGAATATCGGACTACTATATTATATAATTGCCAGACGAACGATCGGACAATAAATGGACCTTTCTTCATCGATCTATATGTTAGAGAAGTTGTTGGAATATCGGACTACTATATTATAGGAACGATCGGAACGAACTATATACAATAGAAATTCGAGGAATATCGGATTACTATATCATATAACTGCCATAGTAACGATCCTTAAAATGGTAAGTTTTAAAATATATCATTATTATCATTATCATTATCATATCTATACCATATCTATGACAAACTTGGCTATTACGAACTCTGCCATGTTCCTGACATGGGCGAAATCTTATCATATCATTATTATACCTCATTGCTCTAGAGAAAGAATCTTACAATCATTTTTTTATGGAAAGAGGTTCTGTTTTTCAATGTCTTTATGATCTTTACAATTCCTATCGCATATCTGAAAGAGACTAAGCCATATATCCACAAGGTTATTTAATCTTCGGCACGGACTCGTCATCTATCTTAACCCAACCTCGCACTATTTTGCTTATCTTATCGGGATACATTTTATTTAATGATTTACTCCGGCTCTGATGAGTACTTTTGGCATATGTTAGGGTATTTCGGGTATTTCTTACGCTGCGGAGATGAGCAGTATGCAAAAGTCAAAGGTTATGGCCGCATCCTGGCGGACATCGCGCACAATTTGCGCCACATTCAGACGCGAGCGAACGGAGTTCATGAATCTGTTCCAGGCGCCCTGCTTCTGTGCATTCTGATTGTTGTTGCTGCTGTAAAAAGAGTTCTTTTTAGCGGGGTTTGACTGTAGCAGCTGGGGTGCAACTGTACTTACTCGCTGTGCGCATTCCCAGCCGCGGGCTGTTTGTCAGTTTGTGTGGGGCACGTTTTGTAGGTTTTAGAGGCGACGCAATTCATGACCGAAACGGAGGAACCCTCCCGATCCCCGATGCCCCATTGCTGTAGTGCGTCGTAAAGATTCTCGTAGAGTTCATTGAACTCCAGCGTAAAGCTTATCTGATAACTGTTGTTCTCCATGCCGCGCAGCCACAGGGCGTTCGATATGCCAAATTTGCGCAATATCTGACGCAGCACGTGCTCCATGGCGGTATCTAGCGGCAGCTCCAACAGTTCCCTACGCTCAGCAACATCTGTCAGCTGTGTTGGTAAACGTCCGCTGGAACCGCACCCGCTCCCCCCGCTCAAAGGGGACGGCGGCGATTGCTGCTGGCCCCTTCGTGACTCAAACAGCTGTTGCGATCGCTGCAGGCTCTGCTCCTCTCCGTCTCCCCTCTCCGTCACCCTTCTCTCTCCTTCATCTTTAAGCTGCCGCCTGTAGGCCTCCTTCAGGCGCTGCTCCTCGCTGGCCGTGGGTATTGTTATTGTGAAGAGTACAGCGGGTGCGTCCAACATTTTATTTAAATATTATTTGCTTATTTAACAAATACATACATACATACACACACACACACGTACATATATGCTCAGACATACATACATACATATACACTTCTTACACGCACACGTTATTTTGTAGTAAATAATCTTGTTTGTTTTTTTTTCTGCGCACAAAATTACGAACGGACGGCGGCTGCACGTTTCAGCAGCTGCGACGATCTTCTGTGCACTGGAAAGCGCATTTCATTTGGCGCCTTGTTGTTGTCCGATGCATTCGCCTGATAACGGTTTTTCCTCAACGCTGTTAAACACATCTCTGTTAAAAAGTATGTTATGGGGCCCACACACGACACAAGCGGCGTTTACATTGCGCTTTGCTATGTTGTTGGGGCCATGTTTTTAATAACAGTTTTTACTCAATTCTGTTAAGCCATTTGCTGTTAATGGGTCAGCACACGCTACAAGCGGCTAGTTGCATTGCGTCTATGTTGTTGGTGCCATGTTTCTTTAACAGTTTTTACTCAATTCTGTTAAGCCATTTGCTGTTAAGGGGTCCACACACGACACCGCTGGCTGCTTGCATTGCGTTTGAATATGTTGTTGGGGCCATGTATTTAAATTGGTTTTTAGTCAACTCTGTTAAAATGTTTGCTGTTAAGGGGTATGTAATGGGGCAGAAACAAGCAGCTAGTTGCTATGCTGTTAGGGCTCATTTTTTGTACGGTTTTTCCTCAACCCTGTTAAAACACTTTGCTGTTATGGACTGCGTAATGGGGCCCACACACGACACTTGCTTTTACATACACATGCTTTTACAGTTTTTACAGTCAACATTTGGCAAGCAACATTTCCCCAAGTTTTAAATTTTGTTTTTTTTTTATCAATAGGCTTGCTTGGGCTAATACTAAATGAATAGTTAATTGTTTTTCCATTGTTATAACATTTACGCAAATCCCATGACATCATGATATTTAAAATGCAGTTCGGTGTTTTTTACATGCAATTAAAAATGAACTTTTTGTTAGTTTCTGGGCAGTGCGAGAAGGGACGTTAATGAACAAAGTCATATCAAGCAAATTGGAATTTCTTAGCGGCTAATCTTGTTTCCTTCCCAATTAGTTGTAGGAAAAGACTAATAAATTTTCAATTCGTAAGATCGTTATTAGAAAATTGTAGTTAAAATATGTATATATGCGCCCTAACAGAGCGTGTTAAGGCGAAATATAAACATCAGTGGGAATGGAATAAAGCGGCAGCTGTTTTTCAATCAGAGGCTTCGAAACAATAAGGTTCTAGTTTTTACCTAAAACTATTTTAATCCATGAAAAACTTTTTTAATGTTAATTGCATACTTAGTAGTTGTGCAAACATTTGTGCCTTGTTTTGTGAGCTGCATGATTAACATTAATATTAACAGCAAGACACACTGTTAACTTAACATTTGCAAGCATTTTGTAAGGCTGTTACAGATTTTTGATAACTAAAGCAACATGTTAACGTTTTTCTTTGATCGGGTTTAAAATTGCATACAAATTATTTGTATATACAAATTTGTGCCGTGCGTTGTAATATGCATGATTAACAGTATTATTAACAGTAAAGCACACTGTTAACTTAACCTTTGCAAGCATTTGAAAAGGCTGTTACAGATATTTGAATTTGATATCTTACGCAAAATGTTAACGTTTTTCTTTGATTAGGTTTAATGTTTAATATTTATTTAAAATATTTAAAACTGACAAAACTTGTTTTATTTACAAATACTTTTGATAAACCACACACGTATTTACACACTAAATATGTAAAATTTAGAATTAGAATACAAGCTAAGCCTCTAGACTGACGTTCATGAGCTCCTTGGTGATTTCGGCTCTGCTCTTTGTGGGCTTGCTGTTGCCCAAGGAATTGGTGTCCTGTGCAAGAGCAGGCGGTGGCAACTTGAAGCCACGGGGCGGGTCCAAATTGGGAGATTCCCCAGCAGGCGGCTCCTCCGTAGACGTTAGGGCCGTCGAAGTCTCGACTGGGGTCTCTTTTGTGGCCATTTTGTAGAGCAGCTGGAGCTGCTGCACGGCATCCGTTGCCAGGGCGGGCCGCGTGGGCAGCGCCAGTTTTGCGACCTGCTTGTTGTTGGGCTTGAGCTTGGCCTTGGCCGGCTGCGGCTGCGGCTGGGGCTTCATGCCCTTGGACCAGGTCTCCAGCCAGTTGGCCGCATTGCGCTCGGTGCTGGTCAGCAGCGGCAGCAGCTCCTGTTGGCGCAGTTGGTCGCGCTGTTCGCTGGCGCTCACCTGGCGCTTGTTAAAGGACTGATCGTCCTTGCTGGGCTCCCCCAGCGGACGGGTGTTCTTCTGCGGTCCCAGCTCGAGCAGCACCTGAAAGTCCGCATGCTCGCCCAAACGAAAGCCAAAGCCCAGACGCGAATCGGTGCCTGTCAACAGATATATGTCCACATTAAGCTGGGCTTATTTATTGGGTAATAACTATATACTTTATATAAACGGACCTTTTTTTATGGGCGGTATATTGGAGTAAACCAGGGAGAGCGCCGATTGTAGTTCCTGCGGCACTATAAATCCATTCACATTCGCAGCTGCAGAAGAGAAATTAATTAAGAGAATAAAGAGAATTAAATTAATTAATTTCAGGTTGAGATTGGGAAAATCTTTGTTTCAGAAAAATGTTTGCCAAATATCATATATATGAAGATATAAAAGATAAATAGTATAAAGAAGGATGCCGGTTCGAGTCGCAGGCACGTGTAACTATTTCTAGGTTTATGCTCTACCTATATTAATAATCTGAGGATAAATCTGAGCTTTGCAACTAAGTCTATTCTTAGTCAGGGATTCTTAGATCATGGTCCAACCCCACAGATTGTTTCCGGAAAATATTTGTGAAATATCTTATTTATAGTCATACAAAAGAAAAATAGTATAAAGAAGGATGCCGGTTCGAGTTCCAGGCACGTGGTGCTATTTCTAACTATATCCTATGCCTTTTATGATAATCGTAAGATAAATCTGAGATTTACTACTAACTAACTAACTAAGTTTAATCTTAGTCACTTGGTCTTAGATCTTGCTTCAACCCAGTGCTAATATTTTCAGCTCTTTTATTACGCAACAAACCATTTTTTATGTGCTGAGTTTTTTTGGGCTTGGTATGCTGTTCGTTTATTTTGACAGCTTGATATGCGGCCTACCAGTTTTTTTATGCAGCAATTAAATTTGGCATCGCTAAAGCTGATTGCCTAACTCTATGATGAATGTGGGACTCTTGGGTAATACTAGAAGAAATTAAGCGGCGTTCTCCGGTCAAATGCAGAAGTTGTAAATATTCTTAGTCTTACACGGGCTAACTTCAGATAATGCTTCAAAAAATTTATAGTTATTACTTTTTTTGCTGTGAATAATAAAAATTTAAATAATTTAATATAAAAATTGCGAAATTTCTGCTTGATTTGAACCGGCAACTACACGCTTCTTGGTTCGACGCTCACATTCCTCAAACATTTTGTATATATTCTATGGTTCCGATATTGTTAATATTTTCGTAGACAAGCTTTGCGCACATTTATCTTCTATTTTGGGTCTCGAATAACCCAAAGTTCCGTCAAAGTACTTACTTTCGACCCAAAGGAAAGCTGCTGTTGAAATTTAAGCTTCTTAGGACTTATTGTTTAATCTGTAAGCCTTAAATCTAACTTAGTAAATTCTATCAATACTTCAACAAGCCCAAATAATACCAAATATCTCAATATACTAGAGTGCTTAATAGATATCACAAAATATAGTGAAATATATATATATATATAATGCACATTGATATCCCATAGGATATAGTATGAGAAACAATATAAATCTCAAATAAACCATAGAGTACACATAAGGAAATGAAGGCTCTCTCAGTTTGAAAAAGGAACAAGTCATATATTTTTTAAGGCTGATCATACACAATCATAAACGCACTTAAACTTGTTTTGCCTCAGGGTCAGCGATTGTTGGGTTAGTCGAAAAAGTTAAATCTTTTTCAAGAGAACTGACCTTTCACACAAATGATGTTTTTGAACCCCAAGAGTTGAGAGCCTCGCGTAATTAATGGGCGTACTTTGATCTAATATTCTACACGGCAAATAGCTCAGACTTAATGAAGACATAATGAATTCAACTCGAGTGCTTTGGCAGAGTCCGAAATAGATATATGTATGTATAAATTTGTAACACACAAGAGAGTCGCTCGACGACCTTGACACAAAGACCGCCAACAGCTTCGGACTGAAACGCGCTTCAATTGGCGGCCCGGTCTGGCCAGGTCTGCGCTTGGGTCTGCGATTGGGTCTGATCTGTGCCAGGCCAAAGTCTACAGTTTGGCTTCGGATCGTTTGTTGTCAGACCGGTTATTGCACAGGCATAAATTCAATTTTAGGCAGTCTATTGTAAATGTAGAGATACACTCAAAGAAAATAGTAGTGTATACTGATTGAAAGAAAGATTGAAGAACATAATGAAAAAATAGGATTTATTTAGTGCTTAGATAATTGTTCTTGCAATTTATGAAGTTAATTTCTAGAAAATGAAGAAGGAAGTAAATTCATAGAAAACAGAAATTGATTAATCAAAAAAAAAACATCGGAAAAATATTATCTAGGTTTTTATTTTAATTTTCACAATTTCATTTAAACGAATTACAAATACATATGCATTATTTAAATCGCGAAATTAGTTCTAGATATAAGGAAAAAATATATGTATGTATATATGTAACATATAAATCATATATGATATATCTCTTAAATCCAATTAGTCTATTATTAATTAGTCTTTTAATTGGATTTAAGAGATACATCATATATAAATACATACATATGTATATACTTATGTTTTTTTACATCTATAACTTTTTACGCGAGTTACGTCTACCTATTTAAATAACTCTTCTCCCAATTTCAAAATATCGATAAATATCGATAAATATAGATTTTGATATATGGTTTCTTGAGCATAACTCGAAGACTATAATAGCTAGCTACACCATATTTTGTATTTAGATTCTCGTACATAATACATAGATAAAAAACAATTCCATTTTTGTATGCCGTCCCACATTCCTATTATAAATTAAAAATTCTTATTCTTGAAGTTAGGGCCTTGCGTCTTGGTATATACACAGTTTTATATGCCATTTTTAAGGGCCGCAAATTTCATAAAGATCGGACTATAAGAAACTGAGTTACTAGAGAATGCATATCCCATAGATAGTGTGGGGCGAAGGGAATAAGCTGCTGGCAGAGTGTGTGTGTGTGAGTGCGAATAATTGTGTGTGAGTGTATGTGTGTGTGTGTGTGTGTATGTGGACTGTCTCCGTATAAAAGATAGCTGGGAATCTATCTATCTATCCATCTATCTATCTATCTATCTATTTATCTATGTATCCATCTATGTATCCATCTATGTATCTATGTATCTATCCATCTATCTATCTATCTATCTATCTATCTATCTATCTATCTATCTATCCATCTATCTATCTATCCATCTATCTATCTATCTATCTATCCATCTATCTATCTATCTATCTGTCTATCTCTCTATCTATCTATCTATCTATCCATCTATCTATCTATCTATCTATCTATCTATCTATCTATCTGTCTATCTACAATGCCAACTCTCAGCTGGATTAAGGGTATCTGCTTGGGTACTTCCGAGTAAAGAACTCTTTTACGATTTATTTAAAAAGGCGCCACTTGTTTCTCCCAGTGTACTTACATTGAAGCAGGCAAAGCAGCAGCCCGAGGCTAACAGTGAGCGGCAGTTGTTTTGGCCAAAACATGATCAGCAGTCGATAACTTTGTGGCTTGCATTTAGCGAAGTAGAAGAAACGGGTCCGTCTAAAGTTAAGAAACTGTAAAAAACACACACAAACACACACACATATAGACGATTACAACATTTGGCTAAAACTGTGGCGGGCTTTTGGGGCTGGTCTCAGCGCTGCGTCATATTGAAAGGTATTTCAACTATGTCCCAAAAGCTGCGCCGCGTCGCGATATGCAAACCGTTTGCCTTGTGGCTTCAATAAAAAGCGTCAACAAAAAACAGAAAATAAAAAACAGAGAAAAACAAAACACGACGGCAAAAAACTGTTTGGAAATCACTCTCACTTTTGTTCAATGTGCCTTTTCTTCTTGTTGTTGTTTTTATTGTTGTTTTTTCGGCTGTTTTTGTTTAGGTTTTGCGAACAACGTCAATGCGCTGCACGTCTTGTTATACCCTTGCAGAGGGTATTGTAATTTAAATAGGCCTTGTGTAACGGCAGCTTTATGATGGGTAGTGATTATGTGCTAGCTATCCACTTATTGAACTGACTATGTGAACTGGCTTTGCTGTGCTTTAATCTTGATAAAACTTGACATATGTTCGTCTTTTTGCTGCAGGCAGTGCATATCTTAGGGTCGGCTGGATTTGATTACTATAGCATATGGTTGTCATAGGATCAACAGCTCGAAAATTGAATCGAAATCTGAGCCTCATCTGGATCGAGTCAGTATATCCCGTAGCTCGCGTACATAAACTACGGAAAATCTTTACTAAACTCCGAAAGTTATTAATATATTCGAGCTAACATGTTCAATAAAGATGTTCAACAGGCTACGAATATACTACAGAGTTAAAATCTTAAAATCAGTTTAAATCAAGTATAAAACTTGCGTAGGAAATCTTGGTGAAAAACGCAGTTTTTCAATATCTTTTAATATCTTTACTAATCTCAGAAATTTAACCAACTTCTTAACAGTGATCTACACTAGCTTACGTATACATATATGTATATAGAAAAAATCTCATCTAAATTGTCTTCATTTCATTTTGGAAAACTTTTGAATATATATATCAGCACTTTATTAACATACTTCAGCGCAACTTTTCAATTGCGAACTGACCTGCGCTCCTGATATGTAGGCAAAATCTCTCACAAATCGCAACATCTTGTTTAGAGAGTCGTTTTTGTTACTTGACCTAGTTCAGAAATTGATTAATATATCTCAGATTTGGATCTACAAAAACGATATTGACTAGGTGACTGATAAACAAAGGCAAAGACAACTTTTATATAAATACTCATATAGCTTTTATCAGCACGTTCCCGTATGTCTGCAAGGGTATTTACGCTTCGACCACGCCGAAGTTGACTTTATTTAGCTTTATTTTTGGTATAAATTCAACTGTTTTATGCGGCCTTGTCTTAAGCGTTGTTTGGTTTTGTTTTGGAATTTTGTAACTCATATTATTATACTTTTATATATCTAAGCATATATGCATATATATCTTTATATCTATTTGGTTTTATGGCTGTAAATTTGATTTGCACTTTTGATCAGAAATTGTTGCTAATCAACGGCGCAAATAGCGTTGAATTTGTTGAAAATGAAAGCGCGCGCCAAGTTTGTCGAGTTTTCAATTGTTGAAAACACAATTTTTGGTTTCGATTTCAATTTCGTTTTGAGACCAAAATAAATACTGTGCCGCTTACACCAGCCACATACAAATGGCCTCATAATACGAGATTCGGCTTTGCTTACATTTTTATTTTACTTTTTATTAAGTTTTATTTTATTTTCGTGCGCACATTTTGGTTTCGCTTTAGCGGCTTTTGACAACCTGCCCGTATCGCGTCTGCGGCACAACTGAAATGAAGAGTGGAACAACCGCTTGGACTTGCAACACGCGCCAACACGACCTCAGCCCCAGCTCCAGCCTCAGCCCCAGCCCCAGCTCTGGTCCCAGCTTCAGATTCGGCTTCAGGTTGAGCTTGAGCTGGGGTGGAGCGCTCGTAAAACATCACGTAACACTCGTATACCCTGTAGCTGTTGAAATTGGCTAAGCAACCGGGTATGACAGCTTGTTGCGCGTGTATGTCATAGACAGAATTGGGCTTCTTCCGTAAATGATATAAAATATTTGCCGGATATGCGACACTGAAAGCATAAATATACCCAATTTACCATAATATCGATAAATATCGATATCGAATCAAGTTATATAATTCGTAATTCGTCACTTATTAGAACTGATCACTAGAAAGTATAAATATACATTCTCTTGGCTTATCTTATTTTTCGATATTCACATCATATCCACAATATCGATAATTATCGATTTTTAATCTAGGTTTATCAAGCATATCTCCTAGATTATAAGAGCTAGAGACTGAAAAGTAGACATATCAAGAGATATGAGATAGAGATACAAAAAGATTTGTGGCTTAGCTTTTTTCGATATATATTCCATTGCAACTCATGCAATATCGATAAATATCGATTTTCAATCAATACTATATTAATATCATATATCAGAATATATTATCGTATATTCTGAATCATATACGATTTTTAAAGCTCGTGACTGGAGAGTAGAAAAATATAATATCGTGGCTTATCTATTTTTCCTCAGCCATCACCTTCTCCATAAAATCGATAAATATTGAATTTTAATTAAGGTTTTTGGAGTATATTTCGTAGATTATTCGAGCTATAAACTAAAAAGTATAAAAATATAAGTTCGTAGCTTATTTTATTTTCGATATTTATTACCCTTACCATAAAATCGATAATTATCGATTTTGAGACAAGGTATCTTAGGCATATCTCGTAAACTATTAGCGCTGTTCACGGCAAGTTTGTCATTTAGCCTAACACACGGTATACACAGTTCCAAAATACTCTACATTATAAATACCTCGCTTCTTCACACTTACGGCAACTTGGCGCTGATTACAGGGCATCTTCTAGTCGGTCACTTGTCGTAGTTTTTGTTGTATTATCTCCGACGCGAGCTTCGGTTTCGGTTTCAGCTTCAGCTTCAGTTTCTTCTCTGAGACCGGCTCTTGCTCCATTAACTTGGCTTCACATGGGCTGCTCAGCTCTGCTCCGCTCTGATCTGCTCTGCTGGGGCGTGGCAGAGCTCCACGATTACACACACTCACACAGATATACGTACATGTAATCATGTCTTACCTGTGGAAGGCGTGTGAAAGGTTGCGACAGGCCTTTTGGCCCAGTCCTGCCCCGACTTGGCCGCTTTTCCATAATTGAATCATTTTTGCCGTTGTTGTTGTTGTTGTGGAAGCAACTGTTGGCCCATTTGTTTAGTTGATAATGATTCACTCGAGTTAAGATTGGCATTGATAAAGAGGAAGACAAAAGCGCGCGCGATTTATGATGAAAGTTTCGAAATGTAATTGTGGATTTTCTGTTAAATGTCAAAATATGCGCAGTTAAACCCACGATTAAAGTGTTAAATAAATAAAGTAGATGTCAACATTGAAGAGTTTACTACAGCTGTGCTTGCTTGACTGGGAGATACCCTGTAGCTGGCATCTTTTTGTAGTTAAAGCAATCAATATAAGTTTTATTTTCTCTTCTTGCGCTCGACTTTCAAGTTCATTGAACGCTTTAACCTTATGCTATATATTATATATTATTTGAGCTAGAAACGTTTTACAGTACAGTGAAGCTTGGCGCACAAGCTTTGCATAAGCGACCATTAAGCGGAACCGAGAGACAGACTGTGAAACCTTGAACGCCCACCTCAGAGCTTATGCAGATGAGCTATGGTTGACATTTTGGCTGTAAAACCTTATGTTTAATTAGCCAAGACAAAGTGTTATGCAACACACACACACACAAACACACACTCACATAGACAGAGTTAGACACAACTTGAGAATTGCTGTCTGTATTGAACCGCAGCAAATGGCCGGAGCTCAGCCAGACGTAGACGCTGCGGTCATTGCATGAATGGCAAACAATTGGCCAACAGCTTTTGGCCATAATTTGCAAAGCGTGGCTAACTAATGTTTACTTCGGCCCACACGCGGTAAATGGGTTTTTCAAGTATTGACGATTTTACTGCATTTGCAAATGTCAAGTTGCAGGCGTGAAAAACTGCGAAAGTGTTGACTACAATAAATGCATATATATTTGCCTTAAATGAACTATCAAATACACCCATTAATAGTCGTTCATATATTCCCCAAGGCCCCGTACAAAAATCGTCTTTTAAATAAGCTCCAATTCGTGAAATGTTAAAAAGCGTTGCCTGCTTTCAGGCGGTCGCTGTAAAGCTTAACAGCTGCTGTTAAGCTGCTGTAATGTTATGCTTGAAGCCGCGCTTTAGCTGTTAATTGCAGCGCTGCCAGCTTTTGCTTGTTTTACGTCAAATCTAGCCTCTTTAACATGCGCTAAATTGAAAAATGCGATTATTTTGGCTATCGAATTTTTGAAACCGATCGGACGGTGAGCCAATTTTCCAATGGGAAATTTTGACACATGTCTATATAGGATATTTGAGGGTACTCATATCACATGAATTTCGACCCAGAATAACGTTGCCAGATTTTGATGCCAAATTGATAAAGAGGCCAAACCATGAAGAAATAGGCAAACCTCGTGAAAATCTGATGAGATTTGACCGAGTTATGGGGTCGGGAAATTTTTATCCATGTCTATACAGGATATTTAAGGGTACTCTTTTCACATGAATTTCGACCCAGAATAACGTTGCCAGATTTTGATGCCAAATTGATTTAGAGGCTAAATCCTGAAGAAAAAGGCAAACCTCGTGAAAATCGGTTGAGTTTTCACCGAGTTATGGGGGTGGGAAATTTTTATCCATGTCTATATAGGATATTTGAGGGTACTCTTTTCACATGAATTTCGACCCAGAATAACATTGCCAGATTTTAATGCCACATTAATTTAGAGGCCAAACCATGAAGAAAAAGGCAAACCTCGTGAAAATCTGATGAGATTTAACCGAGTTATGGGGTCGGGAAATTTTTATCCATGTCTGTATAGGATATTTGAGGGTACTCTTTTCACATGAATTTCGACCCAGAATAACATTGCCAGATTTTAATGCCACATTAATTTAGAGGCCAAACCATGAAGAAAAAGGCAAACCTCGTGAAAATCGGTTGAGTTTTCACCGAGTTATGGGGGTGGGAAATTTGTATCCAGGTCTATATAAGATATTTGAGGGTACTCTTTTCACATTAATTTCGACCCAGAATAACATTGCCAGATTTTAATGCCACATTAATTTAGAGGCCAAACCATGAAGAAAAAGGCAAACCTCGTGAAAATCGGTTGAGTTTTCACCGAGTTATGGGGGTGGGAAATTTGTATCCAGGTCTATATAAGATATTTGAGGGTACTCTTTTCACATGAATTTTGACCCAGAATAACATTGCCAGATTTTAATGCCAAATTGATTTAGAGGCCAAACCATGAAGAAAAAGGCAAACCTCGTGAAAATCTGATGAGATTTGACCGAGTTATGGGGTCGGGAAATTTTTATCCATGTCTATACAGGATATTTAAGGGTACTCTTTTCACATGAATTTCGACCCAGAATAACGTTGCCAGATTTTGATGCCAAATTGATTTAGAGGCTAAATCCTGAAGAAAAAGGCAAACCTCGTGAAAATCGGTTGAGTTTTCACCGAGTTATGGGGGTGGGAAATTTTTATCCATGTCTATATAGGATATTTGAGGGTACTCTTTTCACATGAATTTCGACCCAGAATAACATTGCCAGATTTTAATGCCACATTAATTTAGAGGCCAAACCATGAAGAAAAAGGCAAACCTCGTGAAAATCTGATGAGATTTAACCGAGTTATGGGGTCGGGAAATTTTTATCCATGTCTGTATAGGATATTTGAGGGTACTCTTTTCACATGAATTTCGACCCAGAATAACATTGCCAGATTTTAATGCCACATTAATTTAGAGGCCAAACCATGAAGAAAAAGGCAAACCTCGTGAAAATCGGTTGAGTTTTCACCGAGTTATGGGGGTGGGAAATTTGTATCCAGGTCTATATAAGATATTTGAGGGTACTCTTTTCACATTAATTTCGACCCAGAATAACATTGCCAGATTTTAATGCCACATTAATTTAGAGGCCAAACCATGAAGAAAAAGGCAAACCTCGTGAAAATCGGTTGAGTTTTCACCGAGTTATGGGGGTGGGAAATTTGTATCCAGGTCTATATAAGATATTTGAGGGTACTCTTTTCACATGAATTTTGACCCAGAATAACATTGCCAGATTTTAATGCCAAATTGATTTAGAGGCCAAACCATGAAGAAAAAGGCAGACCTCGTGAAAATCTGATGAGATTTGACCGAGTTATGGGGTCGGGAAATTTTTATCCATGTCTATACAGGATATTTAAGGGTACTCTTTTCACATGAATTTCGACCCAGAATAACGTTGCCAGATTTTGATGCCAAATTGATTTAGAGGCTAAATCCTGAAGAAAAAGGCAAACCTCGTGAAAATCGGTTGAGTTTTCACCGAGTTATGGGGGTGGGAAATTTGTATCCAGGTCTATATAAGATATTTGAGGGTACTCTTTTCACATGAATTTTGACCCAGAATAACATTGCCAGATTTTAATGCCAAATTGATTTAGAGGCCAAACCATGAAGAAAAAGGCAAACCTCGTGAAAATCTGATGAGATTTGACCGAGTTATGGGGTCGGGAAATTTTTATCCATGTCTATACAGGATATTTAAGGGTACTCTTTTCACATGAATTTCGACCCAGAATAACGTTGCCAGATTTTGATGCCAAATTGATTTAGAGGCTAAATCCTGAAGAAAAAGGCAAACCTCGTGAAAATCGGTTGAGTTTTCACCGAGTTATGGGGGTGGGAAATTTTTATCCATGTCTATATAGGATATTTGAGGGTACTCTTTTCACATGAATTTCGACCCAGAATAACATTGCCAGATTTTAATGCCAAATTGATTTAGAGGCCAAACCATGAAGAAAAAGGTAAACCTCGTGAAAATCTTATGAGATTTGACCGAGTTATGGGGTCGGGAAATTTTTATCCATGTCTATATAGGATATTTGAGGTTGGTATTTTCACATGAATTTCGACCCAGAATAACGTTGCCAGATTTTAATGCCAAATTGATTTAGAGGCTAAATCCTGAAGAAAAAGGCAAACCTCGTGAAAATCGGTTGAGTTTTCACCGAGTTATGGGGATGGGAAATTTTTATCCATGTCTATATATTTGTCTAGGATATTTGAGGGTACTATTTGCAGTTTTATATTTAGAGATTCATTTTTGAGTTTGCCATCTCTAATTTTCATAATTATGGAGCGTTTGTCATCGCCATAATTCAATATTATCGTAGCGCCATAAAATACGTGATGAACAGATTAAATGCCGCAAAATTTGACGAACTGACATTTCGTTGCTTTATATAGTTTGTTATGGCATATACATGTGCAGCCTACATAGGTCTGATAAATTCATATTTATATTGCGAGTTTTTGCCAGGCAAAAAAACGTTAAGTAAATGTTTAAATAAATATAGAATTGTTGAATATGCATAAATTTAGTAAATAGCATATTTCAAATAGCAAAAAACTTAAAGGTTTTCATAACCTTTATAAATAAGCTAATTGCAGCTTTATTTAACAGCCTTTTTTCTCGCCTAAAACAAGCTGTTTTGCCCTCCAAAAATGGGCAGCACTGGCGCTCAGAAAAGTTGTAATATGGCGGCTTTGCATAATATTCAATTAAAAATACTTAATCCAAGTCCATATGGAAAACAAGTTCTTATTGCGACATTTAAAATAATTGATTATAATTTTTTTTTGTATTTATTTTTATTGTTCTTACGGTTTTTGTTTAGAGCTAAAGCGCTAATTGTATAATAACAAATTAAATAACTAAATTTTACATTCAACATTTACACTCGTAGCTTTAATGATCAGAAAAGTTCGTTAGAAACCAATTGATTTTTGATTTAGTGAATAAATTAATACGAGCAGTGATATTAATTTAAATATTATCATAATTATTATTCGTACATAAAACATATAACAATTGTTTCACAGTTCAGCGACATTTTTGTATAATTATTATATTCATTTTTTTTTGTATTTTTAATAATTACATTTTACATTTATAATTTAATTGTTCTTCGTTTTTTTTCTTTCTTATTCTTTTTTTTCATTAGACTACGCACTACACTAACAATGATGTGTAAAAATAAATGTGTTTATTTTTATTTTATTTAATTTTTAATTTTATTTCTTGTCTCGTATATTTAGCATACTCAGAGTATGCTGCTTGTATTTAGAAATTCTTTGTGGATTTTTTCTGCTCTTTCGACTCTCTGCAGTTGATATTTTCATTAGTGTCGAATGCTTAACATTTTTTGCTGTAGGTAACGAGGTAAAGTGCGCCTTGTTCAAAAATCGACACAGTCAATTCCATGCCGCAAAGGAGGTGGAGGAGGAGGAGGGGGTTGGGTGGGTTGTTAGGGGGTGGGGCCTTTTATCAATGCCACGCGAACAGCGAATGCGAGACTAATAAATAGCCCGTTGTCACAATTATGCTGCCAATCATTACGGGAAAACCAACTCTGTTGAACAAAAGAAAGCAAGAGTTTATTATTTATTAAAAGCTTTAATCAAATAGCAGGTCGATAGTAGGTCGAATTTTCAGTTTAAAGCGTTCTACAAGCTATAGCACTTTATTATCTAATATAAGTCTTTAATTCTGCGTTCAGCTTTGATTTAAAGTGAAAGTTTTAAGTGGTAGCTAGTTAAAAGAGCTTTGAGCTTTCAGATTATTAAGCCGATTCATGTGTTGAGCTTTCATGTGCTTTAATATAAAACTGTCAAATCAGGTAAAGCAAGAGAGTGTCACTTTTTACCTTTCCCAAACTAAGCTTATTTTCCTTTAAAAAATATAAAAATGCTCTATTTTAATTTGTAGTATTTGGGTCAAATTAATTCTTATATTTTGTATATCTAAAAAGAGTTAAAAGTAGTCGTTTAAGCTTTAAGCTTTAAGTTAGATTATTGTCATGCACTTTATGAGCTTTAAGCTTTAAGTTAGATTATTGTCATGCACTTTATGAGCTTTAAGCTTTACGTTAGATTATTGTCATGCACTTTATGAGTCCTTAAAGCTTTCATGAGCTTTAGTATTAAAAGGAGAGCGGAAAGTAGAGCTTTAAGCTTTAAGTTTGATTATTGTCATTCACCTCATGAGTCCTTAAAGCTTTGATGAGCTTTAATATGGCACTGTTGAATCAAATAGAGAGCGGTAAAAAGAGCTTTAAGCCTAAGCTCAGTTTAGTTCTAATAATCTGATCTATTTGATTTAACTTACTTTCAATTAGGACTTCAATTATTGATAACTTTTATTGAAAGGATCTTTCTTGAGCACACATTACACTAATATTTATATATAATTAATTAAAATTACTATTTACTCACTTGAAAAATTCGAGAAATGTGAATTTATAGCCATGTTGCTCGGCAACGCCAGCACAAACCACATTCGCCGAGGCGCCAATCAATGTGCCATTGCCTAGCAGAACATATGTATGTATATAAAAAGAAAGTTAAGCAATTATTGTGTATGCACTTACCACCCAGACAGGCGCCCAAGGCGAGTGCCCAGACCAATGGCTGCAGCGGCAAGTTTAAGGTGCTATTCTGCGCCAGGGAAATGGTGATCTTGACCATCATCGTGGTCAGCGGAATATTGTCCACGAAGGCGGATGCCACAGCAGATACCTAAAATAAGGCAAATAAATTAAATACTTGCATCATAAAATAGATATAGGAACTCTTTCTGACAAATTTGTATTCTAAATTTGAACCGGCGACCTTTCCTTTGCTAGTTCGACGTTCACATATTAAAGCCATGCAGGCTCAGCTAGGTTTCCTGTCCTTACTTACTCTGAGTATTATCAATATGGCTCATACTTAAGTTGAACCAGTGACCTTTCTTTTGCTAGTTCGACTCTCACACATCTAAGCTACGCAGGCTCATATTGATTTCTTGTCCCTACTTACCCAGTGTATTATAAATATAGCTCATATTTAATTTGAACCAGCGACCTTTCGTTACCAGTTCAACGCTCACATATCTAAGCTACGCAGGCTCATTTAGATTTCTTGTCCTCACTTACCCAGAGTATTATAAATAAAGCTCATACTGAATCTCAGCCGGCGACCTTTCTTTTGCTAGTTCAACTCTCGCAAATATAAGCCAGTAAGATTTCTTGACTTCACTTACCCAGAGTATTATCAATATGGCCACCATCAAACGACGATCCTCGCCCACGCCCAATATAATGCCCTCCGTCATATTGCCGATCCATTCGATCAGACCCAGCTCTGTCAGGGCTTCCATGAGTATAAAGAGGGCGGCAAAGAACAGCAATGTGGACCATTCGACACGCGCCAATATCGCCTCCAGATCCTCAATGTCTGCCAATATTATTAGGAATATGGCACCCAATAGGGCCGTCCAGCCTAGGGAGAGACGCTGCAGTTCCGGCACCGAATGCAAAAAGAATAAACTGATCACAAAGATCAATGCGGCGGTGCACTTGACCAGCAGCTGCTTGTTTCGAACCGGATACTATAGGAAGGGGGGGAGAGATATTGTCAATAAATTAGACCGATCTTAAAAAGAGATACATTAGCATATATCCCACTCTAGCTTGTTTTTAAACTTTGAGATAAATAGTAGATAGGAAAAGATTAACATAAACTAAAGCTGAAATTAAGTGACGCAGCCAACATTTATTTCAGTCGAGAGTACCCGACTACGCAATACCCTGCAGCCAATTCCGATCTGCTGAACCTTTCAACTTTTCTAAATAACTCTTGTGCCTATGTTGCAAGTTTTTTTCTGGTCATCAAGAAAATCGATAAATGTGTGCATATATTGAAAGATCTTTAGAAAAACAGCATGTCAAGTTTTGTGGGTCTAACTCTTTTCAAGAAACGCTCAAAGAGCGCGTGTTTGCAATCGATATTTAATGATTGTTTGTTATCGATATGTATCGATTTCGTTGGTAATCGATTTGATTTGTAACGATCTAAATGGAAAAATCGCCTCAATCGATCTTATTGAACTTGCTCAAGAATTTTTTATAGTTATGAAGCTGAAGATCTCTCCGTCTGCAACTTATCTCAGATAGTTTCTGACCAAGATATCGTATATTGTGAACTTACCTTTGCCTGCAGGTTGGCCAGGGTCTGTTCATAGTTGGGCGCCGGTTCAATCACAGCTGTCATGCGTTTCTTGAGGCTCCGTTTAAGGCGATTGACTTTCTTCATTAGGGTCTGACGCACCAGCTCCTCGTCCTTGGAGTAGGCCGATAGGCTGGCAGCCGCACGCTTCCACACGTGTATCTCATGGCGCAGCTCCTCCACCTCGGCCGAGTCCTTGAACTGCAGATCGCTGATGTTGCGGAACTTGTAGCGTAGTTGGATATATGTTTGGACCATGACCAGAAGGACGCCGGGCAGCATGTGAAGCGTGAAGACAGCAAAGTTAACGCCCTGTAAAGAGATATATTGAATTATCGGAAGCTGTAGGGGGTAACAAGTAGAGCTGTGCTCTGGGTAATTTATTTGCATCAGGCTCGAATACTCAGTTGATTTTAACAGGCTAAGCAGTGCTCGATTTATTGATTCATCAAACCCGAACAGATTCATACAAACGAAGTTCGACTTGCAACATGTTCGAGCTAATATAATGTGAGGCAAAACATACATGCTTGAGCACCCGCACTATAAAATTATTAGTTCGATCATTGATCATCTTTATTTTTCCGTTGAATACTCAATCGATTTAACGAGCTAAGCAGTGCTCGATTAAATGATTCATCAAACTCGAACAGATTCGTGCTAACGAAGTTCGATGTGCAACATGTTCGAGCTAATATAATGTGTGACAAAAATGATTAGTTTGAGCTTCGAACTTTGATTGTTCGAATAAATTGTTTGAGTAGCCGAACAAACGAAGTTCGATGTGCAACATGTTTGAGCTAACATAATGTGAGGCAATAGAGAAAATGATTAGTTCGAACTTCGAACTTTGTTTGAATGAATACATAGCTCGAGTATTCGATACACATTATGCTTGACACGAGGCAGGGCTCTAGTATAGACTTGGGAGTACTCACATTCTTGGATATGTAGCTATTGGAGGCAATGATCACATTGGGCGGATCACCGACGGGCGTCAGAGCGCCGCCGATGTTCGAGTAGATGACCATGCACATCAGTATGGGCACCGGATTGAGGGACATAACCTCGCACAGGCGTATCGTAACCGGCGTCATTAGCAGCACCGTCGTCACGTTGTCCAGAAAGGAGGAGAGCACCGCGGTAAATAGGCACAGGCAATTGATGAGCGGCCAGACATGCCCGTTGGTTATCTTATACGCATACACGGCCAGATAGTCAAAGACGCCCGTCTCCGAGAGTATGGCCACCAGAATCATCATGCCAAAGAGCAGCAGCAGGGTCTCCACATCAATCCAGCCCATAATGGTGGCCATGGAGGGTCGAGAGTTGAGCGCTGCCAATATGCCCACAGATAGGGTCGAGGCAATGATCGCGGCAAAGGTGCGATTCACAATCTCCCAGATGATCATCACGTAGAGGCCGCAGAGCACGGCGGCGGCATAGAGGACGCCGTGTCGCTTATAGATGGGCGACTCGTCCACATTCAGCTGGAGGGGCAGCTCGCCCTCGATGCTGCTGGTCAGCTCGAAGCTGAGCCGGGTGCTGTTCGCCTGGGCCAGCCACGTCGGTTCGCCGGGCTGCAGCTCAAAGGTGTGCGTCTTTTTCGTATCCTTGGTAGCATCAATTAGCTCAAAGTACACAATGTCCAGCTGCCACAGCTCGCTGGCATTCTCCGTGTAAATCTCCTGATCCTGGGCATCAAAGTAGCTCCGCGTCACCTGCACCTGGAGCACGGGCAGCGGCACGCTCTCGTTCAGCTGCAGCTCGTTCTCCTGCAGCCGGAAGGGTCCGCGCAGGCCCAGCCCGATGCGCTCCAGCGTGGCTGTCGTTATGGGAAAGACTGCCGAGGGAAGGGAAAGAAAAGGAAAGAGACTTAAGGTCCAGTCCAAGTTTCAGGTCTTGACTTTGTCACCCACCTCGCGTGGAACTGTTGCCGGGCACACTGATGAGACTCAGCTGATCCACGTGCTCGTTGTTGGACATGAGAAAGGCCGTGAAGACGCACCAGACCACCAACAGGATCGATATCTTGAACCAAATCAGATACTTTTTCAGCTGCAAAAAGATAGATAAAAGACGGCCAAGTTCCATTAAGTTTGCCAAATTTATCAAAGTAACGCGGCTTTATCAAATCAGGAATCGATTCATTCTCTCCAAAACATATTCAATTCAGCCAAAAAAAATCATTCTTAATGGACTTCGGTGCTTATAGTCCGATCTTAGGAAAAAGAATCGTTTCTTTCTCTCCAAAACATATTCAATTCAGCCCAAAAAAAATGATTCTTAATGAACTTCAGTGCTTATAGTCCGATCTTTATGAACTTTTCGGGGCTTCCCAATGTGTATAAGTACCAAAACCCAAGGTTAAAACTCGAAAACTTCCTGATTTTTAATGGAAAATTCTTGATATTAATCGTTCCATATTCCTAAAAAGGCAATTTATCCAAAAACAACTGTTATCGATAACATTGTCATTCTTTTTAGCCATTAGTTCCATTAAGTTTGCCAAATTTGTCAATATTTGCTTTATTATGTGAAGAATCGATTCTTTCTCTCCAATCCATATTCCATCCAGCCTGTTGGGAAAGCAATCCTTAATTAACTTCGGAGTTGATAGTCCGATCTTTATGCAATTTGTATATAATTAATGCAATATGTGTATAAGTACCAAAACCCAAGGCTATAACTAAAAGACTTCCCGATTTTGAATGGAATAATTGGATAAGTCTAGAAAGTTTTATATTCTTAATAGGTATATACTCTTAGATGTACTACGTCCCAAACTTGGTATCAATAATATATCCCTGATAATTCTCGACTTATGCGCTCTCAACTATATTTATCGATATTTCGTTAATGGGTTGAGATATTGAAACGAAATTAAAAGATCGTTCTGCCTTTGGTATACGAGAATATATATTTAAAAGTCTCAAGTCTCCAGCTTTTATAGTTTTCGAGATCCTTCAGAGAGACGGACAGAAAGACGATCTCGGCCGGATCGAGTTAGCTCGAACCAACTCCTTGTGCTGAGTTTCTCTTCGTAAAACTTCTTTTCCTAAACTGTTTTTAAAGAAAACCATGGTTCGATTCCCCTTTCGCTTAGGTTCGTTTGTTTTTTTGGGCAGGTGCTTTGATTAAGGGGTCGATTCATGGTCAGAGATATATTCTTTTTCTGGTCTTCGAACCGGGTCGTTGTAAAACCAGCCTGTAATCTTGGTATTATCCCGCCCCGCAACCGACTTACGCTGCTTTTGCAGTAGGCGTCGTTATCCTCGTGCTGATCCTCGTTGTTGTTCTCCAGGTCCCTAGAGGGGACACAGAAAACTGGTTGCACTAATTACGTAACTGACAATCGAGGCTAACAGAACTACGAACCTGCCGTCCAAGACATGCACCTGCCCCGCCTCGTTCGTCACATTGATGCCAATCTGTGTGAACGCGTGTGAATCCTCCGTATGGCCATTCAGCTCGTGCTCCTCCCGTTCCATCTCCTGCTGCTGCAGCACGTCATCCGACGAGGGCATGGGCTCCACATCTAAAACAAATGATTCAGCAATTTATTCACTTCAATATCAATATAGCTGGGCAGAGGCCAGAGGCATGTGGCAAAGGGCAAATATATTTGTGCGTCAGGCGTTTACTTTGGCTTCGTATTATATCATTTTACCAGCGTAAGCGCAGCTAAAAATATAACAAGGCTGGCCCTGAACAAAGCAATTGACGACAAGGATATGCGACAGCAATTCAATTTTTCTCAAATATCTCAATCAGCCGCAGCCCGTTTCTCAGCATTAGCATCAGCATCCGCATGAGCATCAGCATTAGCATTAGCTTTGGCATTGGCATTAGCTTTGGCATTAGCATATTGTGGCAAGTCCAAAAATAGTTGAAGATCCATTAAACAATTTAAAGTGCTAAACACTTGAAGCAAGTTGCGCACTTGCGCAAATATATTTTGGTACGGGCAAAACGAAGAACTTGAGAAAAATAAACAAACCTGCGCCTGCGGCCAATGTCAATGCCGAAACTGACGCGAACGCAGACACAAATCGCAATAAAAAATTCAACAATAATTACAGCAATAAAAAAAAGTACCAATAACAAAAAAAACCAAAAATAAAAAGTACACACTTTATAGAAAACTACGCATTCAGCTAGCCGAAGACCTAATACGCTTGACAAAGGAACTCAAAAGTTTTCTTTTTAAGAAAGTTCTTATAAAAGTTCGCAAAAGCTGCTTAAATTTACTTATTCTCATGACTTCACACTCTTGTAAGCAGACTTTAGCGTAAATTTTTGAAAATATTCGTTCATTATTGCTAAAAACGCAATTTATTCATAAGCAATTGTTATCGATAACATTGTCTTTCTTTTTAGAATGTATAAAATATATAATTAATTCTAAAATTAGATCGAAAACACAAATTTATGTTAGCTGTACGATTCGATAGTTAATCGATAAAAAGAAAATAGCTTCGATAGTTTATCGATAAATATTTACAATTAAAATCTATACATATTATTTAAAAACTGAGTGCGCCTTTAACGAAATGCTATATAAGATCGTAATCCCTTCCTACGTCTATTCCAATCGATAATTTATCGATAAACACCAAATCAGTTAGAATTTGAGACTTAATTAAAAGCACAGCTAGGAATTGGAATCATATACAATTTAAACGTAATTAAACGCCTCAACTGTAATGCTACGGAGTTCTAAAACCTTACTTCGTTTCGATAATTAATCGATAATAGTATAAAATGTATATACCTCATTTCTCAAACTGAGTTGACTGCTAGAGCATTGTGTTTGCTGTATGTTATCGATGTGTTAAGTATAACTATCGATAATTTATCGATTGAAGGAATAACATGGATAGTGCCTAAAATGTGAGGATTAGGAATAACACTAAGCATAGCTATCGATAGTACATCGAATAATAATACTAATACTAAATAATACTAAACATATCGATAATATATCGATTATGGGAATAACATGGAGAGAGCTTGAAACTGATTGCTTTATTCCACAAGCTTCACATTTCTAAGGACACATTTCTAATGCGCTCTGCCTGGACATAAGCGCGACACACACAAACACACGCACATAGCATATGATTGAGGACAAGGGAAATAAATGTTGGGTAGCATTAAAATAAAATGGCAAAAGGTGGCTTTGTCCAATGGCCCAAAGACAAGCACTTACCGCCATGTAAACGCTCGTGCTCCTGCCGGAACGATGCTAGGCTGGGATCCTGTCGTATGCGTTCGGGCAGCGCCCGCCACACCTGTAAGGCACCTTCTGTTACTTCGCTGCATGTGTGTTGACGGGGGCGTGGAGGGGGTGGGCGTGGCATGTCCATAAGTTGTGGGTTAGCAGCACGTTGGGGAGCCATGAAAAAAAAGAGAGAGAAAAAAAAATGAAACATACGTAAAGATTTTGTAAGATTACTTGACTTTAATACAAATACGCATATAAATAAGAAAAAATTGTTTTTCTCAGTTGCGTGTCGAACCCCCCCCCCCCCACCGCCCACCGAGACACGCCCTATTTTGTGGAATTCAATAAACTGCTTTGTTATTGATTTCATTTGAGGTTTCGTTCAACAATTTGTAAATTCTATTTGACGTTCGGCAAATCGCACTTTAAATGCTTTCTTAAAAGGGGCGAGTTTTTTTCTGTGAGCCGGAAATTCGATTGTGGTTTTAGGATGCGCATTGTCAAGGTGATTGACAGAGACCCAAATAGGGATTCGGCCAAAAAGATGCGATTTCAGCGAAATCATTTAAATCAGTTTGAGCGGAAATCAAAGGGTAGTCCATTAAAGGTTGTAAAATCCAAGCAAGGCATAAGCTCAAAGATTATAAATGCCAAATACAACAACAAGCTGGATATGAGGAGGAATAGGAATACTTCACTTCCAAATAGAAAGAGTTAGAGCCTTGTGCATTGATATGACAACACAATTGGCTGTCGTATATAAACCCTATAATTTTCATAGAGATCGGACAATGAAGACCGAAGTTAATCAAGAACGCGGTTTCCATAAGTATAAAGCGGTATAATAATAATTCTCTCTTATGGTTATGGTTATCTCCCGAATCGAAAAAGAAAGAACTTGCTCTTTACTCGGAGTAAGACTCTCGCGTATTCAACGAATATCATCCGCCTAATTGCGTGGATTTTACAAAAAGTTGTGAAACAAGTTTCCCATAAATTTACGCGTGGATCTTCAACAAATCACGAAAAGTTTGTCATATAGTAAAATCGATTCCAATCTCAGCATAATAAACAAGTAAGACGCTCTAGTCAGCAGTTATCGACTAAGGGATACCCTGGAACCTTTTCTACCAACATCAAATGCAGCTCGAGCTTAGGCCAATTCAGCTCCTGTCAAATTTGTTGACTCTAGCTCTTAAAATATTAGAGATTTGGTCGGAGATGCTCTCTTCTCTCTGTCTCTCTGTCTCTCTCTCTCTCTCTCTCTCTTTCTCAGAGCTCTCTTCTTAGAAATACAGAAATACATTATACCCTCTTTACCAATTTTGCCCGTATTTCGAAAAAGAAAGAGTATGAAAGCCCTGAAATTTTCATAGAGATCGGACAATAAAGTCCGAAGTTAATCAAGAACGTATTTCTCATCGTAAGGGGAGGCAGCATATAAATTACTTTTATGGAAATGTTGCCATAATAAATAATTAGCTGTTTGTTAAGAAAATTGATCAACAATTGATTTGCATTTCATTTGGCTAATTGCCATATTTATGCACATATATGCAAATAAGCCCAGATTCCAGCTTGAAGGCCGACTGCTCCGAGCGCGGATGAAAATCTTACAAAATCTATTGCAATTCTTATGCAAATTGTACGTCGAGGAGAAAAAGGAAAAGAAAATAAAAGCTGAGCGAGGCTAAATCAAAGGCACGAGCTTCTAATTTCAAATGGGCTTGATTAGGTGGCACTTAATTAAGGCTAAACTTTAAGGTCAGGCGTGGAAAATTGTGGCCCAGGCAGCAGCTGGGCCAAAGTGGAGCTAATAAGTCGTCGTCGTCGTATCTGGTAAATGGGCTATTCAATTACAACTTAGATGCGAGTTTAATGACATTTTCTAGCAATTAGATTGCCAGCCCAGCTGGCACATTGAAAAGAATATCATTTGAATCATTTTGAATGGATGCTGGACGACTCACAATACTCACACTCACCCACACCCACACTCATATATACTCGTTCACTCGTTCACTCGCATCACGTGCGTCTGTTGGACAAATGCAATTTGTAGAACTCGAGTCAAGTGGTCAGAAATCTTAATTTAGTTTATTTAAATGCCGCTTAGCAAGAAGCCGGCGACAGTTCCACAGTTCACAGCGGCTCAAATGGTACAAGTCATAAATTATATTTAGCTAAATTTATCTCATGACTTTGCACGCAAAAACAAAGCTAAATAAATAAATAAATAACGAAAAATGAACTAAACCACAAACTGGTTCCATTTGTTGTACTCGCTGTACTCGCATATCTTTCACATTTGATCTGATCGCTCTTGAGAAAGTCTGGAGGCGCAACCCGCTAAATTGCTCATCATTTTGGCTTGGCATCAGATATGTCTGTATATATGTATATATATATATTATAGCGCATCATGTTTATTGGCGCAAATCTAGTCAAATTATAATGCACTTGGAATCAGTTAAATGGGAATATTATGCGAGTGTACTATCTGGATTTGCCTGACATTGACTCGACAAGTCTTTCTCTTTTATCTTTAGCCTAAATTAATTCTAGCTATTATGGGAATTGATATACTGGGTTATTTAATCTATATTATAGTATAAAACGACAAAATTGTAACTCGGACTCGAACGAGATTAAGTGGAAATTGAAATACTTCCGTTTAAAAGTATTTCACCAATTTTCTAACCTTGGGGTTTTCTTACATTTTAATTCATTTCTTACTTAAAAAGTTTTATTAATCATATTTTATCATCATTACAAAGAGCTTGCTTTTTACTCAGACTAAAACTTTTGCGTATATCTTCCACCTAATTGGGTGAATTTTACAAAAAGTGTGAAACAAATCTCCCATAAATTTACACGTGCATCTAAAGAAAATCTTGACACATTTCTCATATAATTAAATCAGCTCCAATTTCAACATAATAAAGTTAGTCGGCAGTTACCGACTAAGAGATACCCTGGATCCTCTTCTACCAACATCAAATGCAGCTTGAGCTTTAATCTAATTCTGCTTCTGTCAAATTTGGTGACTCAAGCTTTTAAAGCATAAGAGATTTGATGCTGATCAAGAATATATACTTTAAATGGTCGGAGATTCTCTCTTCTCTCTTTCTCTCTCTTCTGCCTGTTACATACATTAAACCTTTTTTTCTCAATTTTTTTATGGATTCAGTGTATATTAATTTGGTAAGAGCATATAAAAATTGAATGTCTCTTGAGATTTTAGCTGAGAAATCTCAAGTAGAACCCTTCTAGAATTAAGTAAAATCCGTTTATTTTAAGCACACTTAATGGTGCTTAAAACTCGTCACACAATGAATTCCTAATCAATTCTTAAGAAGAGAAAATCAAGATTGGAAATAAGTGAAATTCTTTCACTTTTCGTTTGCCATCTGAGCGCACTCTGAGTATAATCAGATAATGCAGATAATTCATCTTGATTGTTTACTCGGAAAAACGGAACCCGCAGCAAACGGACAGTCAATGATTTTTTGTTGTTGACGGGTTTCCACTTAAGTTTTTGGGCCAGGTTAACATTGTCAACGAGTTTCGTGCTTTACTGAGCACTGAGAGGGAGGAAGAAAGAGAGAGAGAGAGAGCGAGAGAGAGAGAGGGAGGGGAGGGGTGGGGCGTGGTACACATACTCATCCTCGTATGGGTTATCCTCGGAGCGATTGCTGTAATTATAGGACATCCTTAAGACGCTGTCAGCGTGGCTGGCGGCAGCTGAGTTAGTTAGGTTTTTGACACGCACTAGGGGTACTCAAGTTATGCGAGTTTGAAAAAATTAACTTGTGCAACAAATACTTATTAATAAATACAATATTACGTAAAGTGTGTTGTTTTCGTTTTGCTATTTATTGTATATTTTTACGTTTAATTTCTTTTTGTACTATGTTTATTTTTGCGCACTATTTCTTGCATTTAATATTCTTTTTTTTTTTTCGGTGAATATTTTTGTCGCGTGCCCCTCTTTTTCTTTCGGGCTTTTAATTACAGTTTTTTCAGCTCGCTTCACAGTTTGAGTTGAGCTCTGAATGCGACTGCCCACTGCATTGATGGGTTGCCCTCGCGGTACTAACTAGCATGCACAATTTTTTACCCTATTTTGTAGGTTTTAAGTCGCGTCGCAGTCGGCGGCGAATAAAAAAACCACAGCGTGAAAAGCATATACAAATATCAAAAGAAATGAAAAAAAAAAAAAACGTTTCTGATGTTCATATAAATTTGTGTTTTTTTTTTTGCGCCATCTGCGCTTTGCTCATTATTCGCATTTATGCGTTCTCATACCCCCCCGCCGCCGCCGTCTACCGCCGCTGCAAATGCAACGGCGAGCTGAGCTTAACAGATCAGAGATCCGATCCGAGCATATCTGTCACTCAAAACCGTTGTTGCGCTCTCTCGCCCTCACTCGCCCTCGCTCCTCCCTCTTCCTCGCCCTCTCTCTGTCTTTCACTGTGGCTTTGACTTAGCCCAACTGAACTGTTTTATTTGTTCTTTTAATTTTGCCTTTGCGTGTTTACTTTATTGTTTGTGGCTCTGTTTTCGGTTTCTCTTTTTCGGCTTCTTCCCGTTTCTGTCATGTGCCTCAGTTTTCATTGCTGGCGTTGGCTTATTCGCACTTCTTTCAATTACACTTGATTTATCATATTTGACAGTTACTCAGCGATGCCTTTGATAACGCATGCGATCTGCCATACCCTACCATCGAAATTAACGGCCATATTGGTGGGCATATTAATAGATCATGCTTCTACTTATATTGTATGGTAATTTTATGGAATATAATTTTTGAATATATTGAATATATAAAAAAAAGTAGACGGAAACCGAACATTGATTTAATTCAAATTTACTTATAATCATATTTTAACAAACAAGTTACTTTTGAATAACACGGGCTACTTTAATCTTGAGCTTTGGGTATCAAACCATAAACTAGCCTGGGCTTAGAACCCGGATATTCATTGTTCAATTGTCTGTTTTTATTAGGCTACTTTGAAAACACATCTAATGTAGACTGCACTTTGTATTTTAATTAACTTAAATTATATGCTTACAATATTTTCTCTCACATTATTTACGAATAAATATTCACAATTTTTCGAAATTTAATTCAAAACCCTATTAAAAATATATATTTAGACCACAGGAAAATACTGTGAAAATACTGAAAAAGCTTGTATATACTAGAAAGTATTTTAGATTAATAATTTAGATGAGATGGATTTAAACTAAAAAAAAGCCCTGTTTATGACAGCAGCGTTTGATGGGTTTGGGGAAGGGGTGTGGGTTTTTCCACGCTTGTCAAAAAAGTTTTTCCGACTTATATGCAAATTTTTTTTTTCGCAAATCAGCTAAATTTGAGCTGCAAAACGTTGGCCAGCTGAGCGCTACGTGACGTGACGCTGGCGCTGACGTCACAAATTGTAATTGAAAACCTTTTAGAAGAATCGTGCCAAACAATAAAGAAGTTCCAGTTGGAAACTGACACCTGCTATTCTGATTGGCCAGCGTATAATGGAAAAGCTCTTAACACATTACAGAACTTGCGATTGACCATGGCTCTATTAGTTGTTATTATACTGCGCACCCAAGAGCTATGCTTATAGTACATACAATGCAATTTAATTAAAATAAAATGCAAGAGAATCTCGTATTACAAATGCCCCTCGGCCATACTTTAATGGCAAGTGCATGGAGCTTGAAATGGAAAAGTTTTTGTTCAGCAACTGAATTGGTTTTATTCCATTTGCCACACAGATGATCGCACGCTTCACTAAACGCACAGAAAGACAGGGAGAGTAAGAGAGAGAGAGAGGGAGAGCTGTTGAGAGAGCAGTTAGAATAGCCAAAGGGAGACTGCATTAAAATGCGCACCAATTAAATGCAGTTAATTATGAGCTAATGTTGTTCTTTCATTTTAATTTCCTAGTCCATCTCGGTTACAATAGATATAGGTCATATAAGTGGTATATTTAGGCTATAAATAGTATGCTAATCATTAGAAACTGAAGCTTAATCGCAACTGAGAAAGTAAACAAAGCAATAACAAAGTACACACAAAATATTTGCACAGCACTCAGCAACCTTTTCGCATCTTTTCAAAAGTGACCTCACTTTGCTAACTCTTGCGTTGCCAGATAACCAAGAAATTGGGTTTTTTTTTTCTAAAAGAAATGCGGTCACACTTGCACCCTCTCATATTACCTGCCAGTGCATGCACACACATAAGCAAGCTAAAAAGTTAGCCAAGCTAGCAATTTTCAACAATTAAGCTTATTATGAACACATATTTTTTATTTGTATTTTTTATTGATTTAACTTGCATTTAGATTTAAAAAACCCTCAAATTGTAAATATTTTAATTAAATTTTAAATATTAATTCTTAATTATCCACGTTCAATGATTCATTGAAAATGGTTTTGTTAAAAATTTAGCAAAGTCAGCAAAGCTAGCAAGCAAGCTATCCAAATTTTAAATATTTTAATTAATTATAATAGTATATATAAATTCTTGGAGATCAACTTTCAATGAACCCTTCACAAATGCGTCTATTTCGAATTTAACAATGTCAGCTAAGTCAGAGTGAGTAAAAAAAACATTTATCTATACAAAAAATCAATAAAAATAACATTTGGAAACTTTCATTTTTGAAATATTTACGCTTGCTGCTAACTTCCTTATTCCATAACTTCACGTCTTTCTGGTAAGGCTTTATAAAAACTTCACTCTAAAATTGGGGCCAATAAAAAATAATAATGAAAAACAATCTCTTTTTAATGAATATTTTCCCGTTATATTTCTGCTACACATTGGCAACCATCGAACCCTTATTTAGTATATTTTAAAGATATTTCAGATGTTTTATAAAGCTTTACTAAAAAGGCGTTAAGTATTATGGAATTAGGGGTATGTTAGCAACAAGCGTGAAAAACCGAAATTAAACATTTTGAAATCTTTAAATGAGAGTTTCTAAATGTTATTTATACTGGTTTATGTATTGTTAAGTCTTTTTTTTACTTCTTTCTTAAAATCTCTACTTAATCTTAAGATCCCACAATTTCTCGTATACCCCAAATTGAATAATCACGCCCACTCGCAACTTATCTAATTTCGTTTCGGATATACCCAAACAGGCATAAGTAATATTGTATATTAAATTAGATAGTCTAATTTTAGTCAGTTAGCGTTAACGCGCTCTCATACAGAGCCGAAATTCGCGCAAAAAAAGCTGAATATAGACGTGGGGTCTACAAGGGGAGAGATGGAGGGGGCGGTTTTCTATCAATGCGAGACACGCTTCATTAATTTTTCAACAGCATTTTGATAGGCGGCGTGCTTTTTCTTGCAGTGTATTATTGTGTGAGTACTCGGAACTGGACATGAGTGCGTACATTCAACAAGCTAGCGACTGTCTGGCTGGGGAAGGGTAGGGAAAGGGAAAGGGGGGGGGGGGTGTGTGTGCGCAGAGCAAAAGTTATTTTTATAACAGCGGCGGCAGCCTTGATAAGCATGTTAAATCTCTTGACAGCTGTAAATTTCCATTGCTTAAAAGAAGCAAGGAAAAAAAAGACACACACACACACACAGAGTTAATTAATTGAAATTCACGCACGCTCCACACACAATTCAATGGAACCTCTACCTCCCTCTCACCCTCTCTCCTTTCCAACATATACTCCCACGCAATTCGCACGTGTTCTCAATGATTTTATAGACGTTAACTACGAGCTTCTACTGTAGCAGGAATTGTATGTAAATGCATTTTTACAGAGCTCTGCATATGGAAATAATAATATTAATTGAACATTTTTGCGCGTCTGATCTGGAATTTCTTATAGTGTACTATAATATACTATAATATATACTATGACATATATACTACAATTTATACTACAATATATACTAGCAATACATACTGCAATATATACTATAAAATACTATCATATATACTTCAATTTATACTCTAATATATACTATAATAAATACTATAGTATATACTATAATATATACTGCAATGTATACTATAAAATACTATAATATATACTTCAATATATACTATAATATATACTATAAAATACTATAATATATACTTTAAAATATACTATAATATATACTATAATATATACTATAGTATATACTAAAATATATACTACAATATATACTATAATATATACTATAAAATACTATAATATATACTTTAAAATATACTATAATATATACTACAATATATACTACAATATATACTATAATATATACTATAAAATACTAAAATATATACTTCAATATATACTATAAAATACTATAATATATACTTCAATATATACCATAAAATATACTACAATATATACTATAATATATACTATAATACATACTACAATATATACAACAATATATACTATAATATATACCATAATATATACTATAATATATACTGGAATATAAACTATAATATATACCATAATATATATAACATAGCGCTTGGCACAAGTGAAAAGCTGCTGCGATAGAATCAATGTGAGCTCTCGTTGGCTGCATTCGATTAAATATCAATTAACATAATTCTACTCTTTGTTCTGAGAAATAATTGTATTGATATATGTTCGTTATATTATATATATTCATTTAATCAGCTACAAAGGTCGACTTATATGTCGTTGGATTTTTAATTTATTGCCGCCGGCTTGGTATTTTTTTTTTTTATAAATAATATATTCAAGCACATGTCACGATTTTGGGGTAGGGCAGTTAGAGAACTCTGAAAAGCAAAATGAATAGCAAAAATAATGTTCAAATGAACCAATTTGAAAGGCGAAATGAGAAGTAATTTTATTGGTTCCGTAACTAGAACTAATGTTCAAATGAGCCAATGTGAAAGGCAAAATGAGAAGCAAATTCGTTGCTCGGTTCGCGGCTTGAATCAATGTACAAATGAACCAATATATAAAAAGGAAT